AGCCCCGGGCTGCGGGGTGGCGGCAGAGAACGCCGAGGTGGGCAGGTAAGTGGGCAGTTCTAGAACTTAGGGTTTGGGGTGTAGGGTTTAGGGTTTGGGGTTTGGGGTTTGGGTTTAGGGTTTAGGGTTTGGGGTTTCGGGTTAGGATTTAGGTTTGAGCGGTTTAGGGTTTAGTGTTTAGGGCTTCGGGAAGTACGGCGCCCTTAAAGCAAGGACTGCAAGACGGACCCTAATGTAGAGAACTGCCCAAGTTCCCACAGTATGGACAGACAATCGTAAGCACAAATGGGTCTCTCAGTTAAATAACTAGCTAAATAAGTATACATATACATATATAGGTTATATATGCATACACATACACATTATGCATATACATATACATCTACATATACATATGCATATGTATATACATATACACAGGCATATACATATACGTATGCATATACATATACATATACATATACATATACAGAGACATATACATAGACATAGACATAGACATAGACATGATACATTATACATTATACATTGTACATTATACGTTATACATTATACATTATACATTATACATTATACATATACATATACATATACATATGCAGATACATATGCATATGCATATGCATATGCGTATACATATACGTATACGTATACGTATACGTATACATGTATATTTATCTATGCATGTATTTATTTCTTCATGTCATAGCTTCCTTATCTCTAAGGGGTCAGCATTGTTGTGGAAACATGCACGCTTGCCACGGGCAAATTGAGACAAGTTCCGCACCAGCAGCTGAGTATGCAACCCTAAACCCTAAACCCTAAACCCCAAACCCTAAACCCTCAACCCTCAACCCCAAAACCCTAAAACCCCAAACCGTAAACCCTAAACCTTAAACCCCTCACCAGGTAGCCCAGCTCCTCTGCCAGCGTGGGGAGGGCCGGCAAGGCTTGGCCAACGGCGATGGCCACCAGTGCCAGACCCCGGGTCCATGAGATATGCTGATACTGTCCTTGTCTTTTCTACAATTCGTAGGGTTTAGGGTTTAGGGTTTAGGGTTTAGGGTTTAGGGGTTTAGGGCTTAGGGTTTAGGGTCTAGGCTTTAGGGTGTAGGTTCTCGAGACCCTAAACCCTTATACAAGGAGGATCGTACTCTAGGGTTTCCTCGGGCATTTTCTGAGGGAGCCAGCCTAGGACCTGCCCAGAAGATCACATCCGCCTCGTCATGGACGAGGAAGCGCATTATTCTTGTTGCCACTTTGTATTTGCGAGCATGATTATGTTATGGTTTTAAGTACAGTTCTAATGGGTGAATACTGTGTAGTAGTGAGTATGATTATGTTTGTACCTACTTTTTGAATGGCTTTGTTTCTGACTACCACCTTTCCCATCAGCATGTCTAGATGTCCTACTTGTGGGATTATGATTATGATTATGATTATGATTGTGATTACGTTCATTGTCTTTATCTTTTTCTATGGGCCAATGGCTGTCAGGCCTGGGCTCGGAGCCCTGAACCCTAAACCCCAAACCCCAAACCCCCCTAAACCCCTAAACCCGAAACCCTAAACCCTAAACCCTAAAGTCCCAACCTCCGACCAGCTTGTGGGGTTCAGGGTTTCGGGGTCATTGTTGGGTTTCTATGCGTTATTGCTGCTGGCAGGCGCATAAGACCCCCTCCAACCCTCAATCCTCAACTTCTAGAACCCTGAACCCTAACGACACCCCAAACCCTAAACCCTAAACCCTAAGCCCTAAGCCCTAAGCCCTAAGCCCTAAACCCTAAACCCTAAACCCTAAACCCTAAACCCTAAACCCTGAACCCTGAACCCTGAACCTTGAAGCCAAGCAGAAGGCGCATTGCACGCCGTGCCCCGACATGGGCAATCTCAGCATCTGGTGCTCGGCGACCGAGCTCGAGTTGCCAGTGGGATACATGGCCTGAGCCTCAAGGGAGTTTAGGGTTTAGGGTTTAGGGTTTAGGGATTAGGGTTTAGGGTTTAGGGTTAGGGTCAAGGGTGAGTGCGGAATGAGGGAAGTAGGTACCTTATATCCATATCCCCCCCATAAAAACCCTTGAAGGGATTCGATAAGGCACAAAAACTCCCTTACTCCCTACAAAGACCCAGTACGTGTAGGGTTTAGGGTTTAGGGTTTGGGGTTTAGGGTTTAGGGTTTAGGGTTTAGCCTCCCCCCCCCTTTTGCAGGAGCTTTAACCAGGACCAGGGCCCAAGTTTGTTTGGTGTGGTTTTTTCTCGCGCAGCCATCGACGTTTGCTGTCGTGCAGCTGTTTTACATTGTTTCGACTGGGACGGAAGCCATGTCGACAAAACATCGATTGCGTCGGTGGCGCGGTCGCGCGGAAATCTGCGCAGACACACGAAGACGCGAAGACACGCGAAGCCGAGCGATCGAGCGAAGACGAGCGAAGACGAGCGAAGACGAGCGAAGACGAGCGGGTCCGACAGCCTCCGGCCTCAAGGCCAGGAAGCGTCAGCCAAAGGCTTCTGGTTCCAACCCAACCAATCTATTCAAACGCTTCCCCGGAATTTCGCATCAGGATTCAACATGGACATGCACGTCATCGTCGTGAGGGAGAGAGGGAGGGGGAGAGGGAGGGGGAGAGGGAGGAGGGAGTGGGCGAGGGAGAGGGGGAGGGGGAGAGGGAAAGGGAGAGGGAGAGGAAGAGGAAGAGGGAGAGGGAGAGGGAGGCGGGGAGAGGGTCTGTGTTTTGTGTGTGTATGTATGTATGTATGCATATATATATATATATGTGTGCATATAGAGTGTGGGTGTGGGAGTTTGGATGTCGTTGCTTTGACGGTTTGGTGTCTTGGGGTTAACGGTTTAGGGTTTCGGTTTCTTGGGGTTCAGTGCTCGATTCCCAAGATGTTTAGGCATTGGGGCAACAAACAAGTGGTCAGGGAGGGCTACTGTACATGGTCAGCTGTGACCCGAAGCTTTTGGGGTCTAGGGGTTGAGGTGGTTTAGGAGTTTAGGGGTTCAGGGTTATTAGGAGTTTAAGGGGGTTTACGGGCTAGGAGTTTAATCGGGTCTAGGGGTTTAGGAGCTTAAGGGGCTTAGTAGTTTAGGGTTTAGGGTTTAGGGTTTAGGGTTAAGGGGCTTAAGGTTTAAGGTTTCGGGTTTAGGGTTTAGGGTTTAGGGTTTAGGGTTTCAGTGCCATCTAGGGCCATGAAGCCCGAAGGTACCTCTCGAGTTCTTAGGGTAGGAACCCGTCTCTGCTTCTTATATACCCTATAAAACCCGTGGGGCCCATATTCCAGAACCCTCGTAAAGAAGGCAAGGGACCCTACCCTAACCCCTAAACCCTAAACCCTAAACCCTAAACCCTAAACCTTAAACCTTAAGCCCCTTAACCCTATACCCTAAACCCCAAACCCCAAACCCCCAAGCCAAGAGCCACCCTCAGGTGGACTACAACCGGAGCGACCCCGGCAGCGTGTCGAAATGGTACCGCTGTCCCAGCGACCAGGCGGTTTAGGGTTTAAGGCTTTAGGGGTGTTGTACAGAGCCTCCCTGAACCCGAAGGCCCTGAATACGCTAAACGCTATCATGCCGAGGCTCAACCCTAAACCCTCAACCCTCAACTTCTCCTACCATATAATTCGTGGGCAAGGCCCAAAAACTCGTGGGCAAGGCCCAAAGATTCGTGGGCAAGGCCCAAAGATTCGTGGGCAAGGCCCAAATATTCGTGGGCAAGGCCCAAAATCAGGATTTTGGGCCTTGCCCACGAATTTTTGGGCCTTTTGGTTCGTGGGCAAGGCCCAAAAATTCGTGGGCAAGGCCCAAAAACTCTTGGTGGGCAAGGCCCAAATATTCGTGGGCAAGGCCCAAGTATTCGTGGGCAAGGCCCAAATATTCGTGGGCAAGGCCCAAATATTCGTGGGCAAGGCCTAAATATTCGTGGGCAAGGCCCAAATATTCGTGGGCAAGGCTCAAATATTCGTGGGCAAGGCCCAAAAACTCTTCGTGGGCAAGGCACAAAAATTCGTGGCAATTTTTTGGGCATTGCCCACGAATTTTTGAGCCTTTTGGTTCGTGGGCAAGGCCCAAATGTTTGTGGGCAAGGCCCAAAATTCGTGGGCAAGGCCCAAAAACTCTTGGTGGGCAAGGCCCAAAAATTCGTGGGCAAGGCCCAAATATTCGTGGGCAAGGCCCAAGAATTCGTGGGCCAGGTGCGGCCTTGAGCCCCTCAACCCTTGAGCCCCTAAACCCTTGAGCCCCTAAACCCTTGAGACCCTAAAACCTTGAGCCCCGAACCCCTGGAAGCCATATAAACCCTTGAGACCCTAAACCCTTGCGAACCCCATTAGTTTTGTTGTTGAGCCATCCTAATCATAAGAAGAGAAGCTTTGTATTTCTTAATGTTATGGGAACTCCGGGTGGGTGGGTATTTTTCGATGGTCTAAACAGCGAGCCTAAACGAGAAACTTCTCGACCAGGAGCTCTTGAACCCTAAACCCTAAACCCTAAACCCTAAACCCTAAACCCTAAACCCTAAACCCTAAACCCTAAACCCTAAACCCTAAACCCTAAACCCTAAACCCTATACCCTAAACCCTAAACCCTAAAACGCTGAAGATGACTTGTTGCTACGTCGAGGCGTGCCCCGGGGGCTACCTCAACGCCAGCAGCGTGGCGGGTGAGCCGGCGCAGGAGTTTAGGGTTTAGGGTTTAGGGTTTAGAGTTTAGGGTTTAGGGTTTAGGGTTTATACTTGCTGGTTCTTCGGGTTTGGGGCTTAGGGTTCAGGGACCCTAAACCCTAAAAGCGTTTTCTCAGCGACATGCGCGCAGGAGCTGGTACCCATGTGCGAGGAAGGGTACGGCGGTGTGGGGAGCCTTGGCAACGAAAGTTGAGGTTTAGGGTTTAGGGTTCAGGGTTTAGGCTTAGGGTTTAGGGTTTAGGGGTTCTGGGTTTAGGCTTCAAGTAGCCTACTGGTTCTTGGCAGGGAGCGATGGGGTTAGGTACCCGATCTCCCCTCTCTACAATTCCTTAAACATGGGGCACGAAGCACCAGTAGAGAAGTGGATGCTCCACCATCAAGACCTCCAGCCACCAACCTAAACCCGAAACCCTAAACCCTAATCCCTCTAAACCCTAAACCCTAAACCCTAAACCCCAAACCCTAAACCCTAAAGCCGAAACCCTAAAGGTGTACGAACTGCACCATGGGCTACGGGCGCGGGGACAGCAACATCTTGCAGTGCGTCCACTGCTCCAGCTCCCCTCGCCAGGCAGATTCCGCTAGTCTTGGAAGGATGTGAAAACTGAAGAGCAAGTGTTTCTGCTGCCCCTGAACCCGAAACCCTAAACCCCAAACCCTAAACCCTAAACCCTAAACCCTAAACCCTAAACCCTAAACCCTAAACCCTAAACCCTAAACCCTGAACCCTAAGCCCTTGGCTGGGCCCTGCTTCAGAGGCCACATGGTACGCAGGGTTCTTCCTTGCCAAGAACCTGGCCCTCTTCACCTCTGCCGTGGTCAGCGACGCTGAGCTCAAAGCTCCCCAAACCCTTTAAAGCCCGAAGCCAGCAAGTGTTTAGGGTTTAGGGTTTGGGGTTTAGGGTTTAGGGTTCAGGTTTTAGGTTTTAGGGTTCAGGTTTTAGGGTTTAGGTTTTTTCCAGACTCTGAGCCTGCCCAGCGCCCGAAAAGGCGAGCAAGGGCCATCGTGCGGCCAGCTCCACGTTGCTCAACCAGCTGATGTCCTTCTCTGCCGTGGCCGGCATCACTATGTGTCTTGGAAGCCCTAAAGACCGAAGCCCTTAACAGCTCATGAACCCTAATCCCTAAACCCTGAACCCTGAACCCTAAACCCTAAACCCTAAACCCTAAACCCTAAACCCTAAACCCTAAACCCTAAGCCCTAAACACTGAACCCCCAAAACCCTAAACCCTAAACCCTGAAGCTCTTCCAGCTCATGTTGCAGGTCGGGTGCGATGCAGACCAATACCTTCAAGATAGAGATCGGGATCACAGCAAAGGACCCCTAAACCCTAAACCCTAAACCCTAAACCCTAAACCCTAAACCCCAAACCCTAAACCCTAAACCCTAAACCCCAAACCCTGAAGCTCAAAAAAGCGCTAGAAAGACGGCTTCACAGGACGTCTTCCGAGTGTTGATGTTGCCGGTGTCGGTGGCACAAGGGCAAACCAACGCGGGCGGAGGCATGTCTCTGGGATGCCCAGTAGTACTCCTGTTCCTTTTATTTGGGGCGGCTTAGGTTCCCATAGAAACCCGCTAAGCAAAAAGGGGCACTTTTGTGATTTCTAGCAACCCAGGTCTGGTGAGTGCCTGTTGGAACTCTTCAACGTGGAGAAGAGCCTCCACCATACTCACGTGCTGATGTCCCTGTGGCCGGCGCTGCTGATCGCAGCTGGGAGCGCAGGTCAGGCCCCTCCTCAATTTACTCAAGGAAGGCCGTAAAAACGGTCAGGTCCCCCACCCTCCCTCTCCCTCCCTATCTGTCTCTCTCTCTCTCTCTCTCTCTCTCTCTCTCTCTCTTTCTATCCCTCTCTCTACTCTACTGACTCCAAGGCGTGCCTGGCCATCGCCAAGGGCGGCTGGTTGGCCGTGGTCGTGGGAGTGAACGTCTTTCTGCCCGCCTTCCTGGCAGGCTTCGGGAAGCCGCTGGGCTGTGGAGAGGGGGTTTAGGGTGTAGGGTGCAGGGTTGAGGGTTTGGCGTTTCAGGTTCAGGCTTTCGGGATCAGGGTTCATGGTTTCGGGGTCAGGGTTCAGGGTTTAGGGTGTAGGGTTCAGGGTTTAGGGCTTCGCGTTTCGGGGTGTAGGGTTCAGGGTTTCGGGTTCTGGGTTCAGGGTTTAGGGTTTGTGGGTTTCTTTTTAGGCCCTGGTTTCAAGACCTTCTCGCCCGGTACCCCTGAACCACCTCATTTCCCCTTCACAGTGTTCACAAGCTAAGAAGGGTTGATCGACAGCCCTCTATAGGCTTTAGGACCCAAAGCCCTGAGCCCTAAACCCTGAACCCTAAACCCGAAACCCTGAACCCTAAACCCTGCGCCCTGAACCCGAAACCCTACACTTAAACTCCCAGTAAGCCCCTAAACCCCCCCCCTCCACCCCTGTCTGCGGACGCCATCCTCAGGTATTTGGTGGCCTTCCGTCTTCGACCGGAGAGCGACCCTATCGCCGGCGAGCCGCGTCTACATACGAGGGGTCTCGGGATCCCTCAACCTTAAACCCTAAACCCTATATACCCTAACTCCTAAACCCTGAACCCTATACCCTAGCTCCTTAACCCTGAACCCTGAACCCTAAACTCTGAAATGTAAAGGCTCTGCCAGTCTCAACCCTGAAGGCTCTCAACCCTCAACGCTCGAAGTATCTCTGAAGTCCTGGGTTCTTGATCCTAAACCCTAAACCTCTCTACCATACGACCCTAAATGTTAAACACGCATTTGGCGATTTGATCAATTTTCCTTTTTTTTACCCACCCCCATTGTTCAGCACGAATTAGGCAATTTGATCCATTTTGGCCCCTCTGACCCCTTTTGACCCCCCATTGTTCAGCACGAATTTGGCCATTTGATCCATTTTGGCTCTCTGAGCCCTTTTGACCCCCCATTGTTCAGCGACCCCCCAATTGTTCAGCACGAATTTGGCAATTTGATCCAATTCGGCCCCTATCACACGTTTGACCCCCCATTGTTCAGCGACCCCCCATTGTTCAGCACGAATTAGGGAATTTGATCCATTTCGGCCCCTCTGACGCGTTTGACCCCTTATTGTTCAGCACGAATCAGGGAGTTTGATCCATTTTTGGCCTCTCTGACGCCTTTGACCCCCGCCATTGTTCAGTGCGGTTGGATGGAATAACTTGAGGTCTGTGTGATTGTTTGGCCTCTTGGTGCGTCTGAAAAGAAATTAATAAACTTTCTATCTTCGTAATGTTATGGGATTCTTTGGGCGGGTGTTCTTTTTTCGCCCTTCGGCGTCCCCGCGTCTAGCTTTCCCGGCATCTGATGCAGCTCCACTTGGCCAGAAGCCATCACAGAGCAAAGTATGCAGCTCCCCCTGGCCGGAAGCCATCACAGAGAAAAGTATAGGTGAACTGTTTGTCTGCGATGTTCGTAAGTCGCGTTTGAGAGTCTAGGTGATCTGGTGGTCGGACACATCGGAAGGGTTTAGGGTTTAGGGTCTTTTCTGTGGCGCCCGAGGGCCGGTGCGGGGTCTCTTTTCCGATCGAAAAGACGTGGGTCAGATATCCGGACCCGGGATGTTGAGTCCGAATTGGAGCGTTGGAGCGCGATCTGCGTCAATCTCCCGCCGCTCGCTGTCGGCTCGGAGACCGACGGGGCATTTTGGTTTTGGTGTTTTCCGGGGGCGATGCAAAACGCCTGCATTTCGGCCCTTTGACCTTCCCGAAAAAAACGAAATCATTGAAAACTGATCGTTTTTAGGGGGGGGGGGGGCGGCCGGCCCCATAATTGGACACGATGCAGAATCTTCGCCTCGTCACTCGTTTTTCGGTTTTTCGGTTTTCGGTTTTGACGAAAAACACCTGCGTTTTGCTCGGTTGGCAACCCCTCGAAATCCGAAATCATTGATTTTGAAATTGGAGCACGTGCTTGGTTGCGCGCGCGCGGCCGCCTGCCGGCATGCTCGGTTGAAAGTCTGGTTTAGGGAGGCGACCAGATGTTATCGACCCTCTTCACTCGGCGGCTGGCAACCGCTATGAAGGCGCTAAAGAGATTCTTAGAAGACCCCTGCACTCCGAACGCATTGTTGTTTTCGGTAGACTGTTGGCTCGAGCTTCTTCTTTTGATCAGCCTCAGTCCTCCTCCTGCACCATGGCCCAGAAGACCGCATCAGTAGTCTTGCTTCACAGAAAATCCGGAACCTGCACTCTGTTGAAGTTATCCAAGAACCAGCTGAAGAGGGCCCGTATGTCGAGCAACAGAGCGGCCAACAGTGTCGTTCCGGCGTACAGTTTTGAGTCAGCTACTCAGCTATTCAGTCGTGACATTTTGGATTCATTGAAGCCATCGAATTTCTAAGGACCAGCGGCTTGGATCCTGTGGTGTACGAGCATCTGAGAGTCCGCTTGGGGTTCAAAGTCTCGGAACACCCGATTTTGGTCATTCGGCCCGGCACGCCGATGGGGACTGATATTCTGGTTCGTCTTCATGGCCGGGAAGCGGACCAGCGGGCATTCGTCGGGAACTTCTCCGACGAAAGAAAGACCTGCTCCAGCCCAATGCGGCTTGGAAGCGAATTTATCTCTGGCAGGTTCGCCTGTGCTAAAACAAGGACCGCGCGCCTGCTTTGACATTTGCTCATGACATGTCAGTTTGGAGTCAGCGCTGCGTCAGGACTTCATGGGTTGAGGTTTTTTTTCTCGAAGGGCGTGAATCGTGGTCGGCTGAAATCGAGCCTCCCAGGTATCCAACCCCGTCACTCGGGCCGACCTTGGCGAAAATTCTCTCGAACTGGGGCCGGGACGAGGGCCTGGCTTTTTGGGGGTTTTTCGAAATCGCCGGAGAGGTTTTTCTTGGAAAGTGGCATCTTGGGACGAAATTGGCTTCCAAAGCCCAAAAATAGCTTCCAAAGCCCAAAGTTGGCTCCCAAAGCCTAAAATAGCTTCCAAAGCCCAAAATGGCCAAAAATTGGGAAAGCACCAAAGCCCAAAATGGCCCCCAAAGCCGGGCTTTAAGAGCCAATTTTGGGCGTTGGGAGCTAATTTGTGCTCCGCAACCCAATTTTGGGCTTTGGAACCAATTTTGGGCTTTGGGAGCCAATTTTGGGCGTTGGGAGCTAATTGAATTTTTCCCGTTGCCTACACACACTGCTGGCTTAGTAAATGCTCGAACTTGAGTTGCTGAATCTTAAAACCCTAAACCCTAAACCCTAAACCCTAAACCCTAAACCCTAAACCCTAAGCCCGAAGCCCGAAACCCGAAACCCTAAACCTAAACCTAAATCCTAAACCCTAACCCCAAGCCCTAAACCCCAAACCCTGAACCCTCAACCCTAAACCCTAAACCCTAAAATCTAAACCCTAAACCCTAAACCCTCAACCCTAAACCCTGAAGTCGTCGGCTTCTGTCGCCCCAGGGCTTGCGCTGGGACTTCCTCCCTCCCGGGCCGCACATGACCTCCCACGTCAGTTTCTGAGCTGCTGAGTGAGTACACTTTACACGTTTTTTAGGGTTTCGGGTTTTGGGGTTTAGGGTTTAGGGTTTAGAACTGCAAGTGTACACTTTTTTTGGGGGGCTTGTGAACTCAGCAACTAAGGCTTGCGGATCGCCCTGGTGGTGCTCTCCATCGTCGCCTTGCAGCTGGGTTGGAAGTTAGCAAGGGTGCAGGGTTTAGGGTTTAGGGGTTTAGGGTTCAGGGTTCAGGGTTTAGGGTTAGGGTTGAAAGCTACCCTAAGTCATGGGGGTTTAGTGTTTGGGGGTGATGAAAGTGACCCTAACTCATGGGGTGTGGGGTTTGGGGCTGCTGAACTTAATGAGTTAGCGACCACACCATGAAGCTCCCTAAGAGAAGCCTCAAAAAATTACGACTCGTACCCCGAAGGTTGTACGCTGGAATTTCTCCTTAATATTCTCCCACTATGACCCATGTATATATATATATATATCTGTATACTTTTTTCCTGGGGACCTTACTTGGAGGTTCATGGTACTTACTAACCAATTATAACTGGGCTTATAACCCCCACTTATAAGTGGGATAACCCCTATAAGGCCCTTTAGGGGTATTATAAGTGGGGTTATAAGTACAGTTAGAATTGGTTAGTAAGTACCATGAACCTTCAAGTAAGGGTCCAAGGCACAGAGCCCCTCGAAAGCCCAGGCTGGCCATGAGCGTGGGAAGCTGGATCTTTGCCGCCGATGGCCCTGTTCAGCAATGAACCCTAAACCCTAAACCCTAAAACTCTAAACCCTAAACCCTAAAACCCTAAAACCCTAAAAACCCTAAACCCTAAACCCTAAACCCTAAACCCTAAACCCTATACCCCTTAATTAATGGATTTTGCCCACAACTTTTCGCAAGGGAATATTTGGAGATACCTTCTTGGGTGGAGATGTGTTTTTTTCGCCATTTAGGCTTTAGGCTTTGGGCTTGGGGCCCCTCACGAGACCCGAAACCCTAAACCCCAAACCCACTCCCTTGCGAACTCACACTAAAGCCGAGAATCTGAAAGCTCTAAACCATCTATGGCCTTACCTGAGCAAGCCCCTGAACCGCATGCCCCTAAGCCTTAGACCCGAAAGCCCAAAGCTTTGTTAGCGTTTAGGGTTTAGGGTTTGGGGTTTAGGGTTTAGGGTTTACGGGGAGAAGCCTTGGGTGTGATCAGTTTCTTGACGTGTGATCAGTTTCTTGACCAGGTCTGGTTCCGCACCCAGCCACCGCCAGCGCATGTGGCCTACCTTGTGCAAGCCTACCGCCCAGGCTGCGAAGCTTGGGAGGCCCCCGGCAGCCCTAAACCCTAAACCCTAAGCCCTAGGGTACCCTAAACCCTAAACCCTAAATCCTAAACCCTAAACCCCAAACCCTAAACCCTGAACCCTCCCCAAACCCATAGGGTGCATGATGCACACCATGGGACCCTCTCAGGGTCATGAAATCCTACGTTGTGCTTGGAGGTTCATGGGTACTTATAACCCCAATTCTAAGTCTACTTTTAGGGTTTAGGGGTTTAGGGTTTGGGGTCTGCTTATAACCCCAACTATAAGTCTACTTCTCGGGTTTAGGGTTTAGGGTTTGGGGTCTGCTTACAACCTATTTAGAGGCCTTGGGGGGGCTTAGAAGTACAGTTTTAACTGGGGTTGGAAGTACCCTGAGCCTCCAAGTGGGCCATGACAAATGTTCGAACCATGGAGCGTCCAAAGCCACTCTTGGGGGTTTTAAGGTTTTAGGGTTTTGGGGTTGTAGGGTTTAGGGTTCTAGGGTTTGGAGATTTTGGGGGTTGCGGGCTTTAGGGTTGTAGAGTTGTTGAGTTGCGGGCTTTAGGGTTTTAGGGTTTAGGGTTTAGGGTTTAGGGATTTCAAGTGCAAGCAGAAGAGCAAGCATCGTCTTTGGATCAGCCTCCGCGTGTCCTGTCCAATAGCCATGTCTCTCAAAAGTGGGATCCTAAGCCCAAATGAACCCGAGAAAACCTCTCAACCAACCCTCAGCCCTCTGAACCCTGAACCCTGAACCCTCAACCCTCAACCCTAACCCTAAACCCTAAACCCTAAACCCTAAACCCTAAACCCTAAACCCTAAATCCTACCCCCTAAACCCTAAACCCCAAAACCCTAAACCCTAAACCCCGAAACCTGCATTCCGTTCATTCTTGCAGCCTTGCTGCCAGGTGGAGCGATTGGTGCGCAAGGCCGCCCTGGCTCCGCCCATAGGGTTTAGGGTTTAGGGTTTAGGGTTTAGGGTTTAGGGTTTAGGGTTTAGGGTTTAGGGTTTAGGGTTTAGGGTTTAGGGTTTAGGGTTTAGGGTTTAGGGTTTAGGGTTTAGGGTTTAGGGTTTAGGGTTTAGGGCGTCTCGCCGCGCAGCGGCAGTAGATACGATGTGTGAATGGCGCCCCTACACACCCAGGGGGTGTGGGGGGGCGGCATGTCAGGCGAAGGCATTTGTTTTCGATGTAGTCCAACAATTTTCATTGGTGTTGGTTCCTTTCTCCCACCCGCTGTGAGCTTTCACAGGCCACCACCCAAACCACTGCCTTTTAGGGTTTAGGGCTTTCGCCCTCAATTCCCACCACCGTTGCCTCACACTTTCCGGGGCCGTGAGTGGCACGCTTCACTGCCCGTTCATAGAGCTTTTTGTGGATCGTAAATTTGATGCTCCGGCTTTGCTGCTTCGGGGCCAGCGGTGGGGCCAGGGGGGGTCAGGGGGGCCAGGAAACCCCAAAATTTGGGGGTGGCCAGGCGGGCCAGGAGGAAGACCAGAAAAACCTTTTTTGGCTGTTTTTGGCTCCGGAAGGGGTACCCCCCCATGGCAGACCGGGTGTGCCCAGCAAAAAAAAAATAGTGGCAAGGCGAGCCCTAAGGGCTCTCTATTCGACCACTCTCCAATGGCTCCACCATTGTCCATCCAGTAAAGGTGTCCGTCACTGCCGGGTTCTTCTGGGTCCCGGCACCCTTGTAAAGGGTGGGTACGGCCTAAGCAGGCCGGGTGGGAATTTAGGGTTTAGGGTTTAGGGTTTAGGGTTTATGGCTTAGGGCTTAGGGGTTAGGGTTTAGGGCTTAGGAGGATTTGGGGTGTAGGGTTTCGAGTTTAGGAGCTACACTGCAGGTTGCGTCCAACAACAACTCCAAAAACCACCAACCCAAAAAACCCTTTAAAAACCACCCTGAACCCTAAATCCCTCAACCCTAACCCTGAACCCCTGAATCCCTGAATCCCTCAACAAGCCCCAAGCCCCAAGCCGTAAGCCCTAAACCCTAATCCCTAAACCCAAAACCCCAAACCCTAAACCCCAAACCCTAAGCCCTAGGCCCTAAGCCTCGAGCCTACCAGGTGGTCCTGGCACTGATCACGGCTACGCTGCCGGTCACGCTCTCGCCCGCGGCCTGGTCGGCACTTAGGGTTTAGGGTTTAGGGGTTAGGGGTTAGGGTTCAGGGTTTAGGGGTTTAGGGTTTTTATAGGGGTTTTGGGTTTAGGGGTAAGGGTTTAGGGTTTAGGGTTTTACAGTTTAGGGTTTAAGGTCAGGGTTGTTGCAAGTAGGTTTCTGTTTTATTGGCTTTAGGCATGTTTGGTGGTTTTAGGGTTACAGGGTGTTTGGGATTGCTTTTTGTTTTTATTCATTATCATGATTATTATTATTTCCATTATTATTGTGTTTTTTTTTTGGGGTGGGGGCTTGATTTATGTTTTTTTTCGGGTTCCTGGGGTCGCTTGGGGATGTTGGGCTTGCTTTAGGGAGTTTTAGGGTTGTTAGTGTCTTAGGGCTGCTTTAGGGTTTTGATCTTAGGGTTTAGGGTTTTGGGGTTCTCGGGTTTTGGGGTTTAGGGAGGGGTTTGGGGTTGCTTTGGGGTTTAGGGTTGTTTTAGGGTTTAGGGTTTAATTAGGGGGGGTTGGGGTTTCTTTATTTCGGGTCTGGGGTTTTGGTGTTTTGGGTTTCTTTGGGTTTTAGGGTTGTTTCAGGGTTTTGGGGTTTTGGGGCTTGAGGGCTGTCTTAGGGTTTTGGGGGTTTAGGGTTGCATGAGGGTTTGGGGTTTTAGGGGGTTAGGGTGGTTGTAGGGTTTCGGCTTTTCAGGGTTGCTTAGGGTTTGGGGTTTAGGGTTGTTTTAGGGTTTGGGGATTTCAGGGTTTTAGCGGTTTGAGGTTCTAGGGTTTTGGGGTTTTAGAGTTTTGGTGTTTTAGGGGTTTAGGGTTTTAGGAGGATTTTTGGGGTTGTTTGGGGTCTCAGGGCTTTAGGGTTGTTTTAGGGTTTTGGGGTTTTAGGATTGTTTTAGGGTTTTGGGGCTTTGGGGAGGTTTAAGGGTTGTTTGAGGGTTTTGGGTTTTAGGGTTGCACTAGGGTTTTGGTGTTTTTTGGGTTCAGGGTTGCTTTAGGGTTTCGGGGTGTTACGGTTGTTGGGGTCCAGGGCTTAGGGCTTCAAGGTGTTAGGGTTCGGGTTTTAGGAATGTTGGCGCGGGGGGGGGGGGGGGGGGGGGGGGGTTGGATTCAGGGCTATGGTTTTAGGGTTGCTTGGGGTTTAGGCCTTGAAGTGTTTAGGAATGTTGGGGGGTTTAGGGTTTAGGTTTTTAGGTTTTTGGGTGCAGGGTTTAGGGTTTTAGGGTTGTTCTGGTTTTTGATGTTTTCAGGGTTCGGACTGACTTTTGTTTTTCTTTTTTGTTTGTTTTAGGGTTGTTTGGGGGTTTTACGGTTCTTTGGGGGTTGGGGTTTCGGTTTTGGGGTTTTCGGGTTGTTCGGGGTTTCTCTGGGTTTTAGGGTTGTTTTGGGTCTAGCGTCTTAGGGTTATGAGCTTTTAGGTTTTTTAGGACTGTTTGGGGGCTTTGGGGCTGTTTGGGGATTCAAGGCTGGTTTTACGGTTCTAGAGGTTTGGGGGCTCTAGGGTTGCTTTGGGGCTGTTTGGGGGCTCTAGGGTTGTTTGGGTCAGGTTCAGATTCCTGCACGGAAGAAGCTGCCGGGTAGGGTTTAGGGTTTCGGGTTTAGGGTTTCGGGTTTAGGGTTTAGGGTTTCGGGTTTAGGGTTTAGGGTTTAGGGACCCCCCCCTCCCACCCCGGTGCGGCGTGTTATGGGAGTAAAGAGGTTAACACCTCCCCAAATCATCCAACACGCCGCCAGGGTCGGCGGACCTTAACCCCTCAAACACCTAAACCCTAAACCCTAAAAACCCTAAACCCCAAACCCTAAAACCCCTAAACCCTAAAACCCCTAAACCCAAAACCCAAAACCCTAAACCCTAAACCCTAAACCCTAAACCCCGAAGGCACTGCAGATGGAAGCCGTGACTCTGGTGCTAATCGCGTCCCTGGTGGCGCACCTGTGCTACTGGCCCTACAAGGCCGCTTTGCTTGGACGTGGTTTAGGTTTAGGGTTTAGGGTTTAGGGTTTAGGGAAAGTTTAGGGTTGAGGGCTTGGGGTAAGCTACACCTATGTATGGTGTTTAGCGAGTTCAATACCCCGCATACCCTGCTAAGGGTGGGCGCACGCAGGGATTGAGAAATCGAGGCTTAAAGGGTTCGTATAGGGTTTCGAGTTTAATCGCTTCCCCCTTCTACTAAGACCACCCTCATAATAAAAAACACTTTCCGGAAAAATACCCAAATCCAAAAAATCTCTTTAAAACCACTTTTGAATTAGGGCGGGGGGTCAGGCCTCCAATAAAGGGTTTCGAGTTTTCGAGTTTAGGGTTGAGAGTGTAGGGTCTGAGGTTTGGTGTTTTACATTGTTCAGGGTCGATCGGCTAGAGGGGCTACCTCGGTGTTCCGCGTTCTTGCAGAGTTGGAGCAGATAGACCCTGAACCACGAACCCCTCAGCCTCCAAGAAAAAGTCAACATAACCCCAACCCATACCCCTGAACCTGTAAAAGGGGAACGGAGGGAAGGATTTTCCCATACCCCTTGATTTCCTGTAAGGGGGATGCCCAAGAAATATGTTGAGTAGTTCTTAGACAACCCTGCTGACCCTAAACCCTAAACCCTAAACCCTAAACCCTAAACCCTAAACCCCAAACCCCAAACCCCAAACCCTAAACCCTAAACCCTAAACCCGAATTATTGAGGGCGGTGATAGGGGAACCCATGAAGGACGACTCCTGGAACCGGGTGGAGATTGGCTTGCTCTTCGTTGGGCTCACCATCACCGGGCCCCCTGCCCTGCACCCACTTGGAGGTTCATGGGTACTTCGTACCCAAATAGTAAGGGGGTTTAGCGTTAGGGTGTAGGGTTTATGTTTTAGGATAACTGTACTTGTAACCCACTTATAAGCCCCTTCAGTGCCGCAATAGGGTTATAAGTGCAGTTATAAGTACAGTCATAACTGGTTATTAAGCACCCTAAACCTCCAAGCAGAGACCATAGCGAAGCCGATTGCCCGGTTCGACTTCCTAGGCCCCCCCCAAACCCTGAAACCCTGAAACCCTGAAACCCCTAACCCTAAACCCTAAACCCTAAACCCTAAACCCTACACCCTAAACCCTAAACCCAAGGCTCACCACCTGCCTCATCGCGAACGAGCACCACTGGGCCAAGTCCTCCGTCACGCAGCGCGCGCTGGTCTTCCTCATCTGTTCCGTGGCCGGCGACGCCCGGGCAGTTTAGGGTTTAGGGTTCAGGGGCTTAGGGTTTAGGGTTTAGGGTTCAGGGATTTAGGGTTTAGGGTTTACAGGGTTAGGGTTTGGGGTTTAAGGTTTAGGGTGTGTGTGTGTTCCTGGTGCTTAAAGGGAGCTCAGGGATGGATTGCGCCGCGTTTGGGGGTGCGTCGAAGAAGCCCGAAACCTCCGCTCCAGCACCGTAACATCTGGGGGGGGGGGCTAAGACCCTAAGACCCTAAGACCCGAAGACTCCAAGACGCTAAACCCTGCGACCCTAAGGCCCTAAACCCGAACCCTACAACCTAACAACCCCACAGCGCTCTGAAGCAGCCACACCGCAAGACCCCAAAAGGGTTTTTTTTATTGGGGTTTTCTACCTTATGCCACCCTTATAGCAAGGAGGCACAGAAGGGCTCTAATTTAGAGAACTACCCTAAAACCCTAAACCCTAAAACCTAAACCCTAAACCCTAAACCCTAAAACCTATGCCCTACATCCTAAACCCTAGAGACTCCCCGGAGAGATCGACCTTTGGGCCCAGGGAATATGCGTCGTCATGATGGCCTCATTCCTGGTGGCCTACATTGCTGAGCGACGCAAAAGGGTTTAGGGCTTAGGGCTTGTAGGGCGGTTTAGGGTTTAGGGTTCAGGGTTTAGGGTTTAGGGCTTCGGGAGGGTCTGGATGCTTTTAAGGTTTTAGGGTTAAGGGTTTAGGGCTCTCATGGGTCTCACCTCGGTGCTGGCAAAGCGCGAAGGTGCATCCAGACCAGCGCGCGATGTTCAAGAAAGCAGCGGTCCGAAAGACATAGAGAAGCCCAGGTCTACACATGATCAGAAAGTAGCGCTTAACCCTAAACCCGAAACCCTTGACTCAAACCCGAAACCCTAAACCCGAAACCCTCAATTTTTCCTGAGCCCTGAACCCGGACCCCCCCTAAAGCCCCCAAACCCCTCAAACTCCTAGCAGCGACTTGGGAAATGAAAGGAGCAGATATATTGGTTTGGGTTTGGGGTGAACATCAGCCCCACCCTAGACCCTATAAACCCTAAAACCTAAACCCTTAGCCCGAAAGCTCTAAACCCCCCCCCCCCCCCCCCAGCAAAAACATGGTAGGATCTCTTCAACTCAGTGGCTGAGTGAGTCCCAAAAAGAGTACACTTTACACTTTTTGGGAAACTATAATCCCCTATTGAACTGAAAGTGCACGCCTTTTTGGGGGCTTATGAACTCAGCAACTAAGGAAATTAAATCCCAGAATGACAGGCCTGCATTTCAGCCCTCGGTTGTCGTGGTGGTAGGTGTCAACAGGAAGAAGGCGGACGCAACCAACAAAGTCGAAACCATGCAGCAGACAGCTACACCCTGAGCCCTACGCCCTAAACCCTAAACCCTGAACACCGAACCCTCTTCCGGCCGGACCCTGCGAGACGTTCTTTCTGTTTAGGCGCAGAGGTTTATGTGCCATGTGTCTTGGCTTTCGGAGCTAGACGCCTTTGCAATAGCCCATGACGTCAAGGGATTGAAGGGTTTAGGGTTTAGGCTCTAAGGTGTAACACAGCAGGTGCAAACTGTGTCGCTATCGTCCTCGACCCACTGCAGGTTGTCCGAAGTTCGTTTTGCACAGCTTGCAGTTGCATGTATCGGGTGTCGGTTTACCCAATCCCTAAAGCGCAGAGGGTTTAGGGTTTAGGGTTTAGGGCTTAGGGTTTAGGGTGGGTTTAGGGTTTAGGGCCATGGACGCCCCGCAACTCCTCCGGCTGCCGGTTGGGCCGCGGGCGCAGCCGCCTTCGAGGAGCCCCTCACCTGCGGCAGACGTACCCGCCATGAGCTTCGCCGAGGCTCTCTGGGGGTTTCGAGGGTTTTCGGGTTTAGGGTTTAGGGTTTAGGGTTTAGGGTTTCTGTGTAGGGTTTAGGTTGGGGTTTAGGGTTTGGGGTGTTAGGGAGCTTAAAGTGTTTCCTAGACCCTCAAAGACTCTCAACCCCTGAACCACCCCAATCCCTCAAGCTTAAACCCCTACAAGCCCCAAACCCTAAACCCCTCCAGCCCCATCGCTCCCCTTTCCATTAGGTGCATGCCCTGCTCGCGGAATGCCACGACGCGGAGATAGCAGCAGCTTGGTAGCCCTTTCGGTGCCCGGGTTTCTCGAAGAACACCAAAAGGGCTCTCCTACCCCCTGAACCCTAAACCCTAAACCCGAAAAAGCCAAACGCCGAACCCCAAAACCCTCAACCCTAAACCCTCTAAACCCAAAACCCTATAAACCCGAACCCCATAAACCCTAAACTCTCCCCAACACCCTAACACCCTAATCCCAGCCCCCTCACCCCCTAAAACCATGGCTGCTGGGCTGGCGAGGCACTGAAGAGGCAGGTGTCTACGGGAACGCCGAGCCAGACCCAAGTCTCCGTCATGCAGTTGACCCTTTCCAAGGACCGGGCGTTCAGGGTTTGGGAGGGGTTTTGGGTATTTACGGTCCTTTTTTTGGATGTGGGGTTCTGTTGTCGGGTTAGGGTTCGGGGGGGGGGGGTTGGGGATTTTGGGTTTTTGGGATGTAGGGGTTGTAGGGTTTAGGGGGCGCATTTGGGAAATTTAGGGGGTTAGGGGGGGCGTTGGGATTTCGGGGGGCTCGACTTCGCTTACAGGGTGGGTGCCAACTAGCCCGTAATGAAGCAACCCTAAACCCAAACCCCAAACCCCAAACCCTAAACCCTAAACCCCAAACCCCAAACCCCAAACCCCAAACCCCAAACCCTAAACCCTAAACCCTAAACCCCCCAAGCCCCTGAGCTCCGCATCTCTTTCTCAGGATCGGGAGCGGGGCTCGACGCAGATGGCCTGGAACCCGCGTGAGGAGGATGCGAAGCTGGCGCGGGCCAATGGGCACAAGCTGCAGCAGCCCCCCGGTTCGACCTCAAAAAAGCCCCGAAAAATCTCCGCGTAAACCGCAAAGGCCCTAAACCCCACAGGCCCTAAACCCCAAAGACCCCAAAGGCCCTAAACCCTAAACCCTAAACCTTACACCCTAAACCTAAACCCTAAACCCTAAACCCTAAACCCTAAACCCTAAGCCCACAGTGATCTTGGAGATGGAGTCTTCTACAATCCTATGGGGTGTTGGAGGGAGATGCCACCGTTGTAAACCCTAAACCCTAAACCCTAAACCCCTAAAACCCTAATCAGGCCATACAGATACTCGGCCCAGACCCTTGGGGAAGATCCAAAAAGTAGATCCCCTCAAGGGTTCCTAAGAATGACCCAGTAGTAGTGTAGGGTACTATTTGGGCCTTCGACTTTTTGGATCCTCCCAGAGGTCTGGGGGGCTAGGGTATTCAGATAGGACATGAGAAACGGGGACTTTTTGTCTAGTTCTGGAGGAGGACCTCTTTGCTTGGGAGCAGGGCTCTCGATTGTGGATAGAATAGCTGCGAGTAGTGTGAGTGGAGTGCTTTGGAGATTGAGGAGGAGGAGGAGGAGGAGGAGGAGGAGGAGGAGGAGGAGGAGGAGGAGGAGGAGGAGGAGGAGGAGGAGGAGGAGGAGGAGGTTGTTGGGGCCCCGTTGGTGTGGCGAGTGCCAGGGCGTCTTCCTGAATGTTGACCATATTACGGTTTCACCCCCCTCCCTGGATGACGGACGGCTGTCACGCTGCTGAAAGGAGACAACTCCAGCAAAAAGCCCTAAACCTTAAACCCTAAACCCGAAACCCTAAACCCTAAGCCCTAAGCCTCCTGTTGCAAACCCCTCTGAGGCTGCTTCAGCCTGCCACCTCTGGCCCGGAGAGCGCCTTCCTCGACGCTCAAGAGCAGAAGTTCAGGGTTAGGGTTTAGGGTTTAGGGTTTAGGGTTTAGGGTTTAGGGTTTAGGGTTTAGGGTTTAGGGTTTAGGGTTTAGGGTTACGCCGGCCTCAGTCCGTGCTGAAAAAGGGTTTAGGGTTACTATTAACCCCGCCTTACCCCCTAATATTAGATGCCCCCCCCCCCATTAGAGTTATCTTATAGTATATGGGGGGTATTTAATATTAGGGGGTAGGGGGGTTTGATATTCGGGGAAGAGAGTACTTACTGTTGGTTAGTAGGGAATGGGGGAATTATATAGGGTACCCCATTCCTTCATTCCCTACTAAGCAACAGTAAGTTTATTGGGGGTTGAGGGTTTAGGGTTTAAGGCTGAGGGTGCTTTAAGGGTTGAGCCATTGAGGGCGGACGAACCCCAAAACAGTGCACAGAAGGAACGCACCTTGGCATGTTCTCTTCTAACAACAGTCCTTAATAGGGATAGTAGTACCTCCTACTAGAATCCCGATTAAGGACCTTTAGTATAACTTGGAGGTTCATGGTACTTAGTAACCAATTATAACTGTACTTATAGCTGTACTTATAGCCATATTAGGGCATTTAGGGGGCTTATAAGTGGGTTATAAGCACAGTTATGATTAGTTACTAAGTACCATGAACCTCCAAGAAGTAAACCCATATAAGCCACGGGAAGAGCCTCACTCTAAGAAATGTTCTGGAATGCATCTGCTTTGTCGGGCACCTAAAAACGCCTTGCCATCCTAAGCCCTCCTAAACCCTAAACCCTAAACCCTAAACCCTAAACCCTAAACCCTAAACCCTAAACCCTAAACCCTAAACCCTAAACCCTAAGCCCTAAACCCTAAACCCTAAACCCTAAAAGGACATTTCCTGCATCTTCGCCGAGACCAGCGAGGGCGACATCAACTTCGAGCCTTGGTTCTTGAGGGTTAAGGGTTTAGGGTTTAGGGACTTGTGGTTGATAGTTTAGGAAATGGGGTTCAGGGTTCAGGTCTTGGCTCAGGGTGGAATTTGCCGCAAAGTTGGGGCTTCAGATTTGTTTGGGACGCTCGGCCCACCCTAAACCCTAAACCCTAAATCCTAAACCCTAACTCAAAACCCGACGCCCTAAACCCTAACCCTAAACCCCTTTACCCTTAAACCCCTAAACCCCCAAACCCATGACTAGCCTTGAGAAAGGTTTGGAGTTCAGGGTCGCGCTGCGAAGTTGAGCTTCAAAGGATGTGGTTGGGTTGCTTTTTTCACTTGGGGTTTAGGGTTCAGGGTTTAGGGTTTAGGGTTCAGGGTTCAGGGTTTAGGGGAAACCAGGGGTACCTTATTGGGGTCCTGGTTATAAGGGAACCCTAGTTTTTGGGGCCCGAAATTTGGGCTCCCTTATTTTAGTAAAGACGCACTTGGTGCAGAAGGCCTGTGTGTTTCGATCCGACTTGGGATTTGTTCCGCTAGCTCCCTCGGATCTAGGACACGATAGAAACCCTAAAAACCCTGAAAGCCTTGAAGCACCCTAACAGCCCTTAACAAGCTATAGAAACTCTAAAGCATCCGGAAAAGAAGCCCAACAACCCCTGAGTCCTGAGCCAGGAACCACGGCGCTGCTGGACCACTGACGGATCCCTGACACCCAGTGTGGTTCGTCGGCGGAGTGGCGCGGCTTCTGGCTTTCTAGGGTTTAGGGTTTAGGGTTTAGGGTTTAGGGTTTAGGGTTTAGGGTTTAGGGTTTAGGGTTTAGGGTTTAGGGCTTTTGGGGTGGGGTTTAGGGTTTAGGGTCTCGGGTTTTTGGGGTTGCGGGCCTAGGGTTTGCGGGTTTGCGGGTTTGCGGGCCTAAGGTTTTTTTCTTTTTGGGGGGGGTTATAGGGTTTAGGGCTTTTGGGGTGGGTTTAGGGTTAATTAGGGTCTCGGTGGTTTTTAGGGGGGGGGTTGGGGGGCTCAGGTTACATTGGGGGAAGCGGGTTTGGGGGCCTAAGGTTTTTTTTCTTTTGAGAAGAAAAGAGAGGGGGGGGGGGGGGGGGGGGTCTTTTGATGGGTTTTTTTTTTTATATGGTGGGGGGGGGGGGGGGGGGGAGGTTAGGGTTTTTAGGGGTTTGCGTGTTGTAGGGTGGCCAGGCCGTTTTGGGGGGTTTTCGGGGGTTCGGATGTCTTCCTGCAAATGGCGTTGAACCCCTCCAAGCCCAAAGAAATGCTTGGGCGTGCAGGACTTGGGATGTTCCCCTTATACTAGCAGTCCTTAATCGGATTTAGGGTTTAGGGTTTAGGGTTTGGGGTTCAGGGTTGAGGGTTAACGAAAACCCCTGTTAAGGATTGTTCGTACAATTGGGACCATCCCAATGCAGGACCCTATACTGCACGGCCCAGTGCCCCAAGACCCGAAGCCCTAAACTGTCGAGAGCACCGCTGCCTGCATATGTGGGTGCTCGTGCCCTAAACCCGAAACCCTAAACCCTAACTGAGGCATCTCTTCGTGGGCTCCACTGGCCAGGGGCGACAACCCGCAAGGTCGCTGGCAGCCGCTGGGTCCCTACTACGGAACCTAAACGGGTTCGGGTCGTGCGTGCGTGGGTGGGTGGGTGGGTAGGTGGGTGGGTGGGTGGGTGGGTGCGTGCGTGCGTGGGTGTGTGTGTGTGTGTGTGTGTGCGCGCACGTGCATGTGGTAAGTAAGTATAGCTATGCAAATCTACGCACCTGTGCACGCACGTGTAATCTCCTCTCCCCAATATAAAGCCCCCCCGCCCCCTTTTAATATCAAATACTCCCGTAAAAGTTATTTTAGAGTACACAATATAGGGGCCTTAAGGGGCCATGAGCTAGTAATAATTCTAACCCCTACATTAAGGTGTATATAAGTTTAGAGGGTGGGAGGGGGGGTTTAGTACTAGGGGAGGGGAGTAATAGCAGCCCAGGACGCTAGCGCCCATGGGCCGCTTCCGGCTCGTTTGGGATGTCTGCAGCAACCTGGGCCTGGTTTGGGGTTTGGGGTTTGGGGTTGAGGGTTTGGGTTCAGGGTTCAGGGTTTAGGGTTTAGGGTTTAGGGTTTAGGGTTTAGGGTTTAGGGTTTGGGGTGGGTTTTTCAGCCTCAACTTAAGTTGCTTTGCCAGAGGAGATTTTGAGTGTCATCTTTTTGACCATGACTTTTTCGAGGGCGTTGAGGGTTCAAGCTGTAGGTTTTGGGGCCCCTAAACCCTAAACCCTAAGCCCTAAACCCTAAACCCTAAACCCCAAACCCCTAAACCTCTAAACCCTAAACCCTAAAACCCCAAACCCTAAACGCTTGAGGTCTCGATTCCCACGTTCGGACTGGGAGTTGAGGGCTTATGAGGGGGTTTAGGGTTGAGGGTTTAGGGGTTTAGGGTTTAGGGGTTTGGGGTTTAGGGTTTTGGGTTTAGGGTTTAGGGTTTGGGGTTTAGGGCTTAGGGTTTAGGGTTTAGGTTGTCGGGTTTAGTCAAGGGACTAAAGGGACTGTGGGGTCGGGCTATTTGGGTATATGGGTTTAGGGTTTAGGGTTTAGGGTTTAGGGTTTAGCGAGTTATAAACGGGGAATGAGATTAAGGGTCCCTTCTAGTCCTGACGCCCCTAGGTCGTTTTTGGGTTTGGGTGCTTCGGGTTTAAGGTTTAGGGGATTGGGGTTAGCCAGTCCAAACCCTAAACCCTAAACCCGAAACCCCAAACCCTAAACTGTCAAGTTTGAGATCTGGCCTCATGGCTTCAAATGTTCGGGGTTTAGGGTTCAGGGTCCTAAGCCCTGAGCCCCTGACTCGTAAACCTTGTAGCTTAGAGTTCAGGAGTTATGACCAAAATCATTTTTATTTCGCCCTCTCTTGGTAGAGATACTCTGGGGTTAGGCACTCTGAACAAGACTCTGGGCTTGGGCACTCCAGGGAGACTCTGGGGCTGGGCACTCCGGGGACACTCTGGAGACTCTGGGCACTCCAGGGAAACTAGGCTGGGCACTCCGGGGACAATCTGGGGCTGGCACACTCTGGCGTTGCACTTGAGGAAAGTCTGGGCTTGGGCACTCCAGAGATACTCTGGGGCTGGGCACTCCGGGACACTCTCGGGTTGGGCACTCCAGGGAGACTCCAAGGTTGGGCACGGGGTCACTCCAGAAAGGCTCTCAGATTGGGACTCGGGATGGGCACTCCAGGGACACATTGGGTTGGGCACTCCAGGGATGAGCGAGGAGTAGACCCGGGGAGGAGAAGAGTTCCGGGCGAGGAGAAGAGTGGAGTTAAAAATCTAACAACCCCACACCGAGGGTGGGGAACAACCTAATCCCTGAACCCTCAAACCCCCAAACCCCCAGACCCCCAAACCCAAACCCCCCAAACCCCCTCCAAACCCCCCAAACCCCCCAAACCCCCAAACCCCCCAAACCCCCCAAACCCCAAACCCCCAAATCCCCAACCCCCTAAACCCCCAAACCCTAAACCCTAAACCCTGAAGCCTAAAACCCTAAACCCCAAACCCCAAACCCCAAATGCCTAAACGCCTAAACCCTAACCCCAAAACCCCAAAACCCCGAAACCCCGAAAACCCTAAACCCTATACCCCTAAAACACCAGAGCAACCCGAGGCATCCTCTGCCTCACCCTCGACGTGATCCTGCTGCCACTGCACGCCTTCTCGCAGTGGAGGGCCGGTGCTACTCTGCAGCTCGCCCTAAGCCCTAAGCCCTAAGCCCCAAGCCCTAAGCCCTAAGCCCTAAACCCTAAACCCTAAACCCTAAACCCTAAACCCTAAACCCTAAGCCCTAAGCCCTAAGCCCTAAGCCCTAAGCCCTAAGCCCTAAGCCCTAAGCCCTAAGCCGTAAGCCGTAAACCCTCAGCCCTGAACCCCATGGGTTTGCGGTCGAAGTTTGGGGTCTTTCGGGGTGCAGGCTAGGATATCTGGCCGCCCATTTGGAGTATGGTTTCCAACTTCCCCTATTGCGTTGTAGAACCCTGCTTGGAGGTTCAGGGTACTTATAAACCCAGTTATAGCTGCACTTATGAGCCCCCTAAGTCCCCTAAGTAGGTTATACGTAGATTTATAATTGGGGTTTGAAATACCCATGAACCTCCAAGTGTTGTAGAACCCTAAACCCTAAACCCTAAACCCTAAACCCTAAACCCTAAACCCTAGACCCTAAAGCCTAAACCCTAAACCCTAAACCCTAAACCCTAAACCCTAAACCCTAAAGCCTAAACCCTAAACCCTAAACCCTAAACCCTAAACCCTAAACCCTAAACCCTAAATTCACCCTTTACTAGGTGCCTGGACCCAGAACTAAACCCGGTAGCGAGACACACCTTTACTGGATAGACAATGGGTGGTGCCATTGGAGAGTGGTCGAATACAGCCCCTAGGGCTGAGCCTTTAGGACCACTTACGTGGTGCCACACACTTACAAGGGAAACCCCCAAAATCCTCCCTCCCTAACAACCCCACCCCCTAAACCCTAAAAAGCAGTGGTTTGGGTGGTGGCCTGCGGGTGGGGAAAAGGAAACCTAGCACCAATGAAAATTGCTGGACTGCATTGAAAACAAGTGCCTTCGCGTGACAATGCCCTCCCCCCCCGCCCCCCACACCCCCTGGGTGTGTCGGGGCGCCATTTCCACATGGTATCTACCGCCGCACCCTAAACCCTAAACCCTAAACCCTAAACCCTAAACCCTAAACCCTAAACCCTAAACCCTAAACCCTAAACCCTATACCCTATACCCTATACCCTATAAACCCTATGCCCTGGTGATGAAGCATGTTGGGGATGGCTATGGGGTTGCTCTCTTGGTTTTGCTCATGGGACTCTACCTTGGACCCCTAAGGTTGCACCCTTGGGCCTGGGGACTTTTTTTTGCAGATTTGCAAGGGAATGTACGGGCTGTTTGGGTTTTAGGGTTTAGGGTTTAGGGTTGAGGGTTGAGGGTTTGGGATGAAGGGGTACAACCCTAAAATTTCGAGTCTTAATCCCTTGATCTGCAGCCGTTAACACACCAGGCAGTTGCCAACATGAAAGCACGGTCAGTCGAGGAAGGGGGGAAGGCCCTTCTCGAAGGTTCATGGGTCGTTCTAAGTAAGTTAATTAGTCCCCTAAATAGGGAGTTACCATACTTATACCCCTGCTTCCAGTTGCAGGTCATGTGTAGGGTTTTGGTCTCGGGCTGAGTGGTACTCCCTAAGTCCAGAACCCTAAACCCGAAACCCGCAACCCGAAACCCTAAACGCTAAACCCTAAACCCTAAACCCTGAACCCTGAACCCTAAACCCTAAACTCCCTAAACCCTAAGCAAAGCCGTCAACCCTCAGAAAAAGCTTCAGGCGGACTGCATCCCCTACAACCCCCCAAGCATTTCAGGCCTTGAACTGCCGAGCCTTTGGACTACTAGGGTTTAGGGTTTAGGGTTTTGACTACCAGGGCCGTGTTCGAGCTGCTGCTGCACCTCTTCTGGTGCGCGGATATCGTCGCACCCTTGCTGGGATAGAAGGTTTATGGGGTAGGGTTTAGGGGTTAGGGTTCAGGGAATACACATACACACATACACTGTATCAACAGCCCCCCAAAACCCCAAAACCCCACAAACCCCCAAAACCCCAAACCCTAAACCCCCAAACCCTAAACCCTGAACCGGGTTATGTGAAGGCAGTGGGATCTTGTCGTTTGAAGTAACCTTCGCACCCTAAGCCCGAAACCCCCCCTCAACTTCCCTAAATGCCCCGTAAACCCCCAAAACCAGAAACCGCCAACCCTAAGCCCTAAACCCTAAACCCCAAATCCCAAACCCCCTAAACCCTGCCCCCCCCCCCCCCCCCCCCCCCCCCCCTCCCCGTGGCCCTGAGCCCCAAACACGGTCAGCGTTTAGGGTTTGGGGTTTAGGGTTGGGGTTGAGGGTTTAGGGCGACCCAGCTGACACCCCCAGGTGACCTTGCGCACCGGGTTCTTTTCGGGTGGGACCTTGGTGATGAACCAGAGGTCGATCGCGAAGCTCGGCCACCGGATGGGGGCTGGAATCCCTGTATCCCTAAACCCTAAACCCCTAAACCCAAAACCCAAAACCTAAAACCCAAAACCCAAAACCCAAAACCCCAAAACCCAAAACCCCAAAACCCAAAACCCAAAGCCCCAAAACCCAAAACCCAAAACCCAAAACCCCAAACCCCAAAACCCAAAACCCAAAACCCAAAACCCCAAAACCCAAAACCCAAAACCCAAAACCCAAAACCCAAAACTCAAAACCCAAAGCCCAAAACCCAAAACCCAAAACCCCAAAACCCAAAACCCAAACCCCAAACCCCTAAACCCCTAAACCCCAAAACCCCTAAACCCCAAAACCCCTAAACCCCTCAACCCCTAAACCCCTAAACCCCCCATGTCAGGAAGAACTATGCCCGGGGCTGGATGTCCTTCGACCTCCTCTACGCCGTCCTGGGCCTGGCCTGGGTGGTCCTACAGCTGTCCAACGAGTCCAATGACGTACAGGTGGGGGTTTAGGGTTTAGGGTTTAGGGTTTAGGGTTTGGGGTTTAGGGTTTAGGGTTTGGGGGGTTTAGGGTTTGGGGTTTAGGGTTTAGGGTTTCGGGTTTAGGGTGTGACATCGGTCAGCTGAACGCAACAGTGTGAAGACATGCCCACCCCAAGGCCACCCCATCACAACTCACAGTGAGCCAAGCCGGAGCCAGCCCAAACCAAGCCAAAGCCATTCCAACTTACTGCGTCCCTAAACATATGAGATGCTTGGGAAACTTCCCTGATTTTTTTTCAAGCTCTAAACCCTACCCCCCGAAAATCTGAACCCTGAGCCCTCGACCCAAAAATCCAAACGCATGAGCCCCTAATCCCCTCTGGGCTTCAGTAGTTTCGTGACTAAACAAGAACAGGCTTTACGCGTAGGGTCCTAAAACCCCTAAACCCTAAACCCTAAACCCTAAACCCTAAACCCTAAACCCTAAACCCTAAACCCTAAACCCTAAACCCTAAGCCCTAAGCCCTAAGCCCTAAACCCTAAACCCTAGTCGGCCAAGCAAAGTGGGGATCTTGACCCAAGCAGAGGCTGGGGCCCAGAGCTTCATGACCGGCCTAGGCTGCATGCCCCTCGGACTTTTAGGGGGGGTTTAGGGTTTAGGGTTTAGGGGTTTAGGGGTTTAGGGGTTTAGGGGTTTAGGGGTCTAGTCCCTAAACCCCACACTTAGACCCTAAACCCTAAACCCTAAACCCTAAACCCGAAACCCTAAACCCTAAACCCTAAAAATCCGAAACCCTAAACCCGAAACCCTAAACCCTAAACCCTAGACCCCACTATGGCGGCTTCTGAGTGCAAGTGAGGCAACTCTTCCTGCGACTTGTTCGCCTCATGCGGCTTACGAAGATGGCCGATTCTTGCCCGATGCTCCGTTTAGGGTTTAAGGTTTAGAGTTTAGAGTTTAGGGTTTAAAAGGAGGCTTGATGCGGGTGTGAAGAACTCTAGAAAGCGTTGAGGGGTTCAGTGGTTTACGCATTACGTGGGGGTGGTTGCGCCTACAGTTCCCCAAGAAGCGGAAATCCTATTTCGGCTCTCTTCCTTCAATCGACGCAATGACTCAACACGATACGCCCAAACGCTACTTGGAGGTTCATGGTACTTACTAACCAATTGTAGGGTTATAAAGCCCAGTTAGATTTGGTTAGTAAGTACCATGAACCTCCAAGTAGACCCTAGACCCTTCTTAAAAGGTCCGTCTCTGCCCACGCCAGGTATGCGCAGTTGTAGGATCCATGGGGCGATACAAGGTGCTGTCGTGCGTGCCTGCGATGGGGTTCAGGGTGTAGGGTTCTGGGTTTAGGGTTTAGGGTTTAGGGTTTAGGGTTCTGGGTTTAGGGTTTGGGGACTTGTTCCATCCACACGAACCTAAACCGTACACCCGTGCATCAGCTACAATGAGTTCCGGGCATTCGAAGGTGTGATTTCTGAATCTATGAACAGGCCAAAGAACACCAAGAAACCCTAACCCCTCAAACCTTGAAATCCAAAAGACCCTGAACTCTAGAACCTTACGGCCCTAAACTCAAACAATGTCAAGCATGTTCAAGCAGCCTGTTCATCTGCCTTAAGAACCCTAAACCTTAAACCCTAAACCCTAAACCCTAAACCCTAAACCGTAACCCTAAACCCTAAACCCTAAACCCTAAACCCTAAACCCTAAACCCTACACTACCAGGAGTCCAGCAAGACGCGGCTAACCTCGGACATTCTCATCGCCAGCGCGAGCATCCTCCAGCTCTCGGCCCAGTTTCTCGGGCGAAAGCGACGTTTCAGGGGGCCTTGGGGTCTCTCATTGCTAGCGATCCCTGGGTGTTGCTTTGCTTTGAGCTTGCTTCCTGTGACAGTTCCGCTACCCCGTAGCCATTGTATGTTTTGGATTTTACATTGCCGTCCATCGGTAGTTTTTCGCCTGAAAACCTCGGCGTTGGCTTCCAGTTCTCCGGAGCCTATATCTATTTCACATTGGCCGTCTGATTGCCAGAGACTTCTTGGGCGCCAATTTGTTGGCGTTGCTTTCTTGAGCCCGTTCCGTTTACGGCTGCTTCCTTACACACGGTCGTCGAGGAGACGGAGGCTGTTACATTGCCGGGTTCTCCCAAATCTCGACCGCAACCCTAAACCCTAAACCCTAAACCCTAAACCCTAAACCCTAAACCCTAAACCCTAAACCCTAAACCCTAAACCCTAACCCTAAACCCTAAACCCTAAACCCTAAACCTGAACCCTAAACCCTAAACCCTAAACCCTAAACCACCCTAAACCCCGAAAACCCTAAAAACCACTAAACCCTAAACCCTAAACCCTAAACCCTAAACCCTAAACCCTAAACCCTAAACCCTAAACCCTAAACCCTAAACCCTAAACCCTAAACCCTGCATCATGCCGTGAGATTTGGGGGTTTGCGAAAATCAGGGACCCTTAATATAGACCCCAAATAGTAGGACTCCCTTATAATGAGGGCCCCAATTCGGAAAGCCCCATTTGGGGGCTCACATATATGAGAAGAGCGAGTAGGTCTTCGATCGACAAGGGTTTGATGGGTCAGAAGGAGGGAACCCAAGACAGTGCACATGGGTTTAGGGCCCCTTAGGGAGGGGGGTTCATGGGGAGTAGTTGCCTCGGGAACCTCAGGGAACCTTTAGGGAACCTTAGGGAACCAAAGGGAACCTTAGGGAACCTTAGGGAACCTTAGGGAACCTTAGGGAAGCTTAGGGAAGCTTAGGGAGCTTGACGGAGCTGTGGGGAGTATTAGGGAGCCCAAGATCACATAGCCCCCCTTGAGCCCCACCCTCCCTTAAAGGACCGTGTAAACAGGGGTTTAGGGCAACTTAGGGTTTGGGGGCATAGGAATCCCTAAACCCTGAACCCTCAACCTCCTCTCGTCTTTGGCGTGGGTAGGCGGTGGTGGGATTCTATACCGTATGGATATGGGTTTAGTGTTTAGTGTTTGGGGTTGGGAGCGTTCCAACATGGCTCTCCGGACCCCCTTGAAGAGGAGTCTCCTGTGTTGCTTTGCGTGGGAAACCCTAAACCCTAAACCCTATGCCCGGACACGAGGAATCTGTTTCCGAAAGGGTTCCCTCACAAGCAAAACGGGGTAGATCTCGAAATGAGGGTCCATTTTTTTTCGGTTTTCGGGGGGGCGGGGGGGGGGGGGGGGGTCCTTACTTGGTGCATTGTCACGGGTGCCGTGCGATAGAGGGGACCCCCCAAAAAAGGGACCCTAATCTAGAGAGCTGCCCGCAACGACACAACACTAAGCCCTAAACCCTAAACCAGAAAACACTAAACCCTAAACCCTAAACCCGAAACCCTAAACCCTAAACCCTAAACCCTAAACCCTAAACCCTAAACCCTAAACCCTAAACCCTAAACCCTAAACCCTAAACCCTAAACCCTAAAACCTACACCCTAAACCCTAAACCCTAAACCCTAAACCCTAAACCCTAAACCCTAAACCCTAAACCCTAAACCCTAAACCCTAAACCCTAAGCCCGAAACCCGAAACCCTAAACCCTAAACCCTAAATCCCAAGCATTTCCTCGTTCTAGTTGCCTATGGACTCCCGGAGCCCCATCCAAGGGATTTGAGGGACTTTCATGGGACTCCCAAACAGGGAGCCCCAAGAAGGGAGGGTTTAGGGTTAGGGTTTAGGGTTTAGGGTTTTGGGTTTTGGGTTTAGGGTTAGGGTTTAGGGTTTAGGATTGAGGGTGAGTAGGAATATCATAGGAGTATACCTACCAGCGTGCGTATATTCCAGTTAGTCCCTGCTCTCTTCTTGAGGTTCCTGTGTGGGGTTCCCTTTCTAGGGCCCAGAGTGGGCCCTTATTCCCTTTTTTACGGTTCGGGTGGGTTCCCTTATAAGCCCCTTTAAACCAAAAAGGGCACCCTTTTTCTTCCTGGGTCACCCTAAACCCTAAACCCTAAACCCTAAACCCTAAACCCTCAACCCTAATCCCTAAACCCCCGCTTTAGGATCGTCCTCAATCACCACGCCATCGCCTGCATCTGGTACTACATTGGCACGGTGGCGGGCAGTACGGGCTGGGTGGCCATCAACAATCTGGACCAGTGGGTTTAGGGTTTAGGGAGGGTTTGGGGTTTAGGGTTTAGGGTGTAGGGTAGAGGGCTTGGGGCTTGGGGCGGTTTAGGGGGGCGAGTGGACGGCAGGGTTTAGGAGTTCGTGGCCAACGCCCTAAACGCTCCAGCCCTAAACCATAAGTCTCGAACCCCAAGCCCCCCCATTTTCGGAAATCCCGTGAAGGGATTTCCGAAAATGGAGGCACCTTCATCAATTTCGGGAGGGGAGGGTGATGTGCAGGGCACCCTTCTATTGGGAAGTGCCCATTTTGTGTTCCAGGTTTCTTGCCCACCCTCGGTGCGGGGGTCAGCCGATTTCTAACTCTGAAATTCTGCTCGCCCGAGTCTCCGGTACTCCTCGCCCGTGTCTTCGCCCCCTAAACCACCCCGAAACCCTCAACCCTAAACCCTCAACCCTCAACCCTAAACCCTAAACCCTCCCATGCCATGCTCACCCCCAAAGACACCCCACCCCGCTAGAATCCTGTTTCCCTCACTAGGTCAGTTAGTTTAAAGTTTACGGTTTAGGGTTTAGGTTGTAGGGTTGCAGGGTTTAGGGTTTTGGGGTTTAGGGCTTTAGGATGTCCAGAGAGCCCACCCTCCCCGGAGAATTCCGCAAAAACTGCCTGAAGTGCCCACCCAAAGATATCCCAAGGGTCTAGGGTTTAGGGTTTAGGGTTTGGGGTTTAGGGCTTCCACCGAGTAACCCACAGTGCCCAATGCGAGATGAGCCGCTCAGCTCCATGCCCCATATTCCTAAACCCCAAACCCCAAACCCCAAACCCCAAACCCCAAACCCCAAACCCCAAACCCCAAACCCTAAACCCTAAACCCCAAACCCCAAACCCCAAACCCTAAACCCTAAACCCTAAACCCTAAACCAAAAAACCCTAAACCCTAAGCCCTAAACCCTAAACCCTAAACCCTAAACCCTAAACCCTAAACCCTAAATCCGTCCCACGTTGACTCTTCAGGTTTTGGCATATTTTGGCATCTGGGGCTTGGAGGCTTGAGTAGAAGTGACACCTCAGGTCTACCATCCCGGTCCCACAGTTTCGCAGAGTTTCGGGAGGCCCCTAAACCCCAAACCCTAATTCTAAACCCTAAACCCGAAACCCTAAACCCTAAACCCTAAACCCTAAACCCTAAACCCTAAACCCTAAACCCTACACCCTAAACCCTAAACCCTAAACCCTAAACCCTAAACCCCAGACCCTAAACCCTAAACCCTAAACCCCAAACCCTAAAATTTCAACCCTCAGCTTCTCCAATCTTGACTGCCCCCAGCTACCAGACACCCGAGAGTCCTGCGCTCCCCTAAACCCTAACTCTAAACCCTAAACCCTAAACCCTAAACCCTAAACCCTAAACCCCAAAACCCCCTAAACCGTGAGGACAGCCAGCCGATGCTCTACCGCTACGCCACGTCCCTGAACTACCTCTTCTGCCAGCTTCTTGGTGCTTGTTTCGGTTTAGTTTAGGGTTGAGGGTTTCGGGTTTAGGGTTCAGGGTTTAGGGTTTAGGGTTTAGCGTTTAGGGTTTAGGGTTTAGGGTAGGCCGAAACCACCAAACCCTAGTGCACGAACCCCTCTGAAGACCCAAACCCCAAAGCTTGAAGCGCCCCAAAGCTGTAATGTTAACGTCGCTTTAATAACCCCCCCCCCCCCCCCCAAGACTTGTTTTGGTCCCCGGGGTTTGGAGGGGTAGAAAAAAACGAGTGGGTGCCAATAATGCGGATTCTGGGGGTCTTGGGGGGGGTTAGCTGTCAGGGTCTGCTGTGCTTGGTCTCGAAGGGTTCTGCTTGCTCTCGGAGCTCGAAAAGTCTTCTCTGCAAGTAAAATTTCTGATTCCTGGCCGGCCAAATATTACTGTTGTCACCCCATTATTATTTTCACCGGACCCCCCTATATAGACTTGTTTACACACATCGGCCCGAAAACCTCCCGTAATGGAAAGTAGTCTTCGGCTGAGCCCCTCTGGCCCGGCGAATATTACAGTTGCCACCCCATTTATAGATGTGAGGTTAACATTAAGCCATCCGCGATTGTGATCGCTGACAGCCCTAAACCCTAAACTCAAAGCCCAAACGCTCACCCCCTGAACCCTACACCGTAAACCCTCAGCCCGAAAGCCTAAACCCAAAACCCTTACCCCCCCAAAGCTGCGAATGCCCCTGGCCCAGACCCCCCAACCCTTAAGCCGTAAGCCCCTAAACCCTAACCCTAGACGCCTAGACCCCTAGACCCCGAGACCCCGAGACCCCTAGACCCCTAGACCCCGAGACCCCGAGACCCCTAGACCCCTAGACCCCTAGACCCCTAGACCCCTAGACCCCTAGACCCCTAGACCCCTAGACCCCTAGACCCCTAAACCCTAAACCCTGAAACCTTAACCCTAAACCCTAAACCCTAAAGCCTAAACCCTAAACCCTAAACCCTAAACCCTAAAACCCTAAACCCCTAAAGCCTTAAAACCCTCAATCCGACAGGCTGGGCTTCGGTGGCACCGGTATCGAGCCGGGAACGACGTTAGCGACCCGACCTGGCTCTACACCCGAACCCCCTAAACCCTCAACCCGAAACCCTAAACCCCTAACCCCTTTACCCTCTAAACCCTAAACCCTTTACCCTCTAAACCCTAGACCCAAAACCCTTTAAACCCTAAACCCTAAAACGGCTTCGGGGGGCTTCGGGTTGTGGGTATTGCTCCTACTTGGAGGTTCATGGGTACTTGTAACCCCTACTATCAACCTACTTATAGCCTACTTAGTGGACTTGGGGCTTATAAGTACAGGTATAACTGGGGTTATACGTACCCTGAACCTCCAAGCAGTGGGCTCTGGGATGTTGTTCCCTGTCTTAGTGCGCTGAGGGTGCTTGGGTTTAGGGGCAGGGTGATCCTCCGTTTTTTCCCTAAACCCTAAACCCTTAACTCCAAAATGCAAAACAGTAGTAGAATTTTGTACATGATGAAGCACATTGAAAAAGTTCGCAAAATAGATGAGAATAGAATTCAGGTATCCTTTGGGTTCAGATCATCTTTGGATTTTGAGTATATCGTTTTTTACAAAACTAATAATTCTACTTATACTGTAAATGTCAACTGTTGCAACTTACATTATTGTTATTATTGATATTGATTCTTTGTAGTCATAGCTGTTATGCTACAGTACTCGTAACGTTATCAGTTCTTCTAAACAATTGGCATTAGACATGGCTGATTCAAATGTGTTGTGCCAATGATTTTTATCCTTAAGACATTCAGAAGACATGCGTCAAACGTTGAAAACGTGTTACTCTTGTTGATAGTAGTAAACTTGGAAAATGTTAGTAGTAAACTTATTGACGCTCTTTTTGAAACCAGCAATGAACAGTTTCAATACACTTAAATTACAAGCGTCTAATAAAAAACTCTGTTAACGTTTTTGAACATCCTATGTCACCAACTTATTCACAAACAAAAGCATCTGATTTACAGTATGTTAAGAAAGGGAATGAACGTGAATAGTAGATGTGGATGGTCCAGGCAATTTGTCAATCAATTGTTGTATACGAACAGAAGAGGTTAAACCAACACAGACTACACGGGCATTTAACGAATCAATATTTTGACAACATGGCCATCACAAGACTACTACCTTTGAAGTATTAACGCATCGAAAGGAAAGTCTAAGGGAAGCCTAAAGGTAACTCTAAAAGGCAAATCTTGACGCAGTGGGTTTACGGAGAACTCCAGAAGTTGGAACATGGTTTAAGGATGATTAGAGCTGCATTTCCCCTTAGTATAACTTTTAGGGTATGGGTAAAAGGATGTTCCAACTTCTTGGAGTTGACGGTAGGCACAAGTAGCTTGCGGAGCGACCTTTCTCACCTGGGGTTTCGTATTCCAGCTTGCTGGAATCCCTGGTGGTCACAAACGTCACTCTGCAGAAACTTGCGCTGAAACGCGGCGGGCTTAAGCTCCAGCAGCCTTTTTGTAGCGCAAGTTTGCCCAAACCTGCACAGTAAAATAGACTGCCCTTGCGCTTAAAGACGGCGGGAGTAAGCAAAAGTAGTTGAGGAGCGACCTTTCTGACGCGGTGTTTCGCGTTTCCGGATTCGGGAGGCCCCCCCCCCCAACATGTTTTCACCGCTGAGGAGCGGTTCTTCGGCCTTTTCACCGCAGTTCAAGCGCTGGTGGCTTGTCTTGGGGAGGGGGTTTGGGGTTTGTGGTTCAGGGTTGTGGGTGCTTCAGGCTCCGGGTGTGGGGGGGGTGGGTTTCATTTCCCCTTTTCTGTTGGTCTCGAGTCTGGGGTTCTGGGTTTAGGGTTCAGGGTGGCAGGGGGAGTCTCGGGTGCAGGGTTTGGGAGTTAAACCCTAAACCCTAAACCCTAAACCCTAAACCCTAAACCCTAAACCCTAAACCCTAAACCCTAAACCCTAAACCCTAAACCCTAAACCCTAAACCCTAAACCCTAAACCCTAAACCCTAAACCTAACCCTAAACCCTAAACCCTAAACCCTAAACCCTAAACCCTAAACCCTAAACCCTAAACCCTAAACCCTAAACCCTAAACCCTAAACCCTAAACCCTAAACCCTAAACCCTAAACCCTAAACCCTAAACCCTAAACCCTAGTCCGACCAGGGGATTGGAGGTTGGGTCCCAGGTTCGGCGGGAGCAGCATTTGGTAAGGGATATAAGTAGGCGCCCTAGAACGGGAAAAGTATCCCAGTAGCCCCTACATTACCCCCGAAGGTCCCTTACAACCCGCCCCTCGTCCCTTGAACTTGGGCTTTCTTCGCAAATGCTCCCCCTGGTTAAGAGGAAGTCTTTGTCCTGAGAAGTCCGAGGTGGCAAGTTCGCCCTGAACCCCTACACCCTACTAAACCCTAGACCGTAAACCCTAAACCCTAAACCCTAAACCCTAAACCCGAAACCCTGAACCCTGAACCCTAAACCCTGAACCCTAAACCCTAAACCCTCAGCCCTAAACCCTGAACCCTGAACCCTAAACCCTAAACCCCGAACCCTAAACCGGAGGCCATTTTCTCGACCCTTGTCGCCTCTCTAACCTCCCACGCGGCCTTCCTCAACAAGTCCGGCGAGGCGAATGGGGCAAAGCCCGCCTGGGTTTAGGGGTCTTAGGGTTTAGGGTTTAGGGAGTTTGGGGAGTTTAGGGAGTTTGGGGAGTTTAGGGAGTTTAGGGAGTTTAGGGAGTTCAGGGAGTTTAGGGGTTTAGGGTTTAGGGTTTAGGGAGTTTGGGGGAGTTTAGGGGTTGTAGGGTTTAGGGGTTTAGGGTTTAGGGTTTAGGGTTTAGGGGTTGTAGGGTTTAGGGGTTTAGGGTTCAGGTGTTGTAAGGAGCCAAAGGGGGCGTAGAGGAGTGAACTGTGAAACCCTAATCCTCAAACCCTAACAGTTTGCCCTGAACAGCCTAGCTGTTGCTTCAGTGCTACAGGGGTAAACCCTGAGACCTAACCCTAAACCCTAAACCCTAAACCCTAAACCCTAAACCCTAAACCCTAAACCCTAAACCCTAAACCCTAAACCCTAAACCACATATGGTCACTTCCGAAAACCAAAATCCTTCACCACATGGGGATGGCCTAGTGACATGTTAGGGTCTCACTGGTCCCTCCAATCCCTGAAATCCCAAATGCCTCCAGGGTTGAGAGTTTAGGGTTTAGGGTTTTAGGGTTGTAGGGTTTAGGGTTTAGGGTTTTAGGGTTTTAGGGTTTAGGGTTTTAGGGTTTAGGGTTTTCAGTTTAGGGTCCCCTGAATACACCTTAAAAGGTAGGCCTAAGCCCTAAACCCTAAACCCTAAACCCTAAACCCTAAACCCTAGACCCTAGACCCTAAACCCTAAACCCTAAACCCTACCGCCTACGCCCTAAACCTGCACCCTCCTTAGAGGAGCGGCGGAACGAGTTCCGGCTGCTTCGCCAGTTCCTGGCGCACAGCCAGGTCGAAGAAGAGCTGGCCCTGAGGAGCCTAGGTTTCGGGTTTAGGCTTTAGGGTTTAGGGTTCAGGGTTTAGGGTTTTCGGTTCAGGGTTCAGGGTTTTGGGGAGGCCCTAAACAAGCAAACCCTGCCGGCCTTAAAGGGGTTCAGAGTTGAGGGTTTTAAGCCTCAAGCTCGCCAAAGCCCCCAAAACCTAAAGCCACCAGACCCCTAAACCCTTCAACCCCTAAGCCTGAACTCCTGAGGGTTGAGGGTTTTGGGGTTTTGGGGTTTAGGGTTTAGGGTTTTTGGTTCAGGGTTTTGGGTTCAGGGTTTAGGGTTTTGGGTTTAGGGGTGGTTTAGGGTCGAGGGCTTAGGCCTCAGAGTTCCGGGTTTAGGGTTTATAAGGGGCTTTAGGGTTTAGGGTTTAGGGTTTAGGGTTTTTTAGGGTTGAAACCTATTGCTTCTAGCGGAGGTTCTAGCCTATTGGTTAGGCTAGCCCGCCATACAGTCATAGTTTCCACAACACCGAACTTTCGTTGGTGTAGGAACCCAACAATGGCCTACGCCTTGGGTTGAGGTTTAGGGCTCCGGGCTCCAACCATAAGTGGAGCTAAACCCTAAACCCTGAACCCTAAACCCTAATCCCGATACCCCCAAACAAGTACCCCAAAAGCCAGGCTCCCCCCCCCCCCCCCCCCCCCCCCCCCCCCCCAAGAAAAAACAAAGCCCCTACTGCAGGTTTTGGGCATGGGAAGTTCAGGGTTTAGGGTTTTTGATAGCCCTTTGCCTCCTTTGGTTCAAGGTTCCCTGAAAAAGTAACCAACCCCACCAAAAGCAGGGTACCCTTGTCACAATATGGTTGCTGGGCTCTGAAAGCTCAACCCCTAAACTCTGAACCCTCAACTCCATCGACCCTAAACTCCGAACACTCAACTCTAAACTCCTAAACTCCTAAGCTCTAAACCCGAAACCCTGGGCTCTAAACGGTAAACTCTGAGCCCTAAACCCTCAACCCTAATCCTAAACCCTAAACCCTAAACTCTAAACCCTAAACTCTAAGCCCCAAGCTCTTCACCAGGATCCAGCGTTTCCTTGAGCACGCCCACGCCCTGACCAAGGAGGGAAACGTGCTGTTCTTGGGGGACCCTAAAACCTAAACCCTAAACCCTAAACCCTAAACCCTAAACCCTAAACCCTAAACCCTAAACCCTCAATCCCAAGCACCTGAAGCCTAAACGCCCTAAACCAGGCCCCAAAACGGAACTCGTAGGCTCAATTGGGCCTAAGCCCTAAACCCTAAACCCTAAACCCTAAACCCTAAACCCTAAACCCTAAACCCTAAACCCTAAACCCTAAACCCGACACCCTAATCCCTAAACCCTAAACCCTAAGCCTTAAATTGGATCCTCCGAACCCAAGAAGCCATCGCCTCGTCCATGACCTAGGGTTTCGGGTTTGGGGTTTGGGGTTTAGGGTTTAGGGTTTAGGGTTTGGGGTTTAGGGTTTAGGGTTTAGGGTTTAGGGCCTAGGGTTTAGGGGAATCCCATTTGGGCTTAGTGTCGGGGCTTCGGGGGCCAAGGGCTTGGGGGCTTTGTAGCTTAGGGCTTGGGGCTGAGGGCTGTGCAGTGGCGTCCCCCCCACCGCAGGAAGTCGTGGATGAGATTCAAGTTCCTCTCCTAAGGCTGCGTGGGGAGGGTTCGGGGCTTATGGTTTGGGGTTTAGGGTTTAGGGTTAGGGTTTAGGGCCGACTTGCTGCTCTTCGCAGCGATTGAGGGAACTAGGTAGCCTGTACCTACCGAGACCCTAAGCCCCAAACCCTAAAACTAAACCCTGTGTTTCCCTAACTCCCTTTCAAGATTTCGCAACCTCAGCGCACTGACCTCCACCAAGACCAAGCCCGAGACGATGGCCACACGTTTCGACCAGCCTGCAAGGGTTGGGGTTTAGGGTTAACTTCCTGTTTAGGGTTTAGGGTTTTGCTCTAAACCCTCATTCCCAAACCTGAAGCCCTGAGCCCTAGATCCTAAGCCTTCAGCCAAGAAGCGCTAAAGCTTTGCGTGACGCGCGTGCTGTCCAGGTTGAGTCTTCTTGTGCGGTTTGGGGGCTGCTTAGGTATATAGGGACTGTATAAGGTATATATTAAGGGGTTCCATGGGGGAATAAGACTAAGGGTCACTTCTAGGGGTTTAGGGTTTAGGGTTTAGGGTTTAGGGTTTGGGGTCCTTTTGCCCCTTCACTTGAGCATGACCTTGTTTGCGGCAGCGCCGCCGCCATCCATGGTGCGACGAGAACATCAGCTTCTCAGATGGGATCCCGTTTCCCAAGTCCAGCCGCAAGATCTCTAAACCCTAAACCCTAAACCCTAAACCCTAAACCCTAAACCCTAAACCCTAAACCCTAAACCCTAAACCCTAAACCCTAAACCCCTAAACCCTAAACCCTAAACCCTAAACCCTAAACCCTAAACCCTAAACCCTAAACCCTAAACCCTAAACCCTAAACCCTAAACCCTAAACCCTAAACCCTAAACCCTAACCCCTAACCCCTAACCCCTACCCCCTACCCCCTACCCCCTAACCCCTAAACCCCAAACCCTAAACCCTAAACCCTCAACCCTCAACCCTCAACCCTCAACCCTCAACCCTCAACCCTCAACCCTCAACCCGCAACCCTCAACCCTCAACCCTCAACCCTCAACCCTCAACCCCAAACCCTAAACCCTAAACAGGAACCAGCACGCCCTTTTTAACCCAAGTGCCCCAACTTCCATTTTAGGGTTTTAGGGTTTTTGAGTTTAGGGTTTAGGGTTTAGGAGGTTTAGGGTTAGAGATTTCGGGCCTTCGCTTTCCCGAGATTCCCCCTAGCATACAGCCACTGTAGGAAAGTCGAAAGGCATGCGGCTTCAGTTTCCATAGCGAGGAGGCCCCAACCCCCATTGCATTCCCCTCCCCCCCACTCTTCCTCTTCAGCCCATGTTTTTGGCCCATGTTTTTTAGATTTCAAGCCCCGCCACCCCATCTCTGGTGTGGAACACCCCCTTGACCTTCTTTTCGACCATGTTTTGGTTCGATTTCAATCCCCGCCCGCGGGGTGGGGGGGGTGGGGGGGCGGCGTGTGGATTGAAATCTAACCAAAAACAGGGCTGAAGAGGGTCAAGGGGGGCGCGCAGGACAAAACATGCTCCACACCACAGGGCGGCAAGATGGAAATTTGGCCGTGAGGAAGGACACCAGCGCAGGGGGGGGGGGGTAGGGTGCTCCATGGCGGGTGGGGGGGGGAAAGCATGGGGGAGGGGCGGGGGAGGGCGCCAGGGCCCGAGACCACATATGTGAGAACCTTCAAAAGGTACATGAACTTTAAGCGTCAGGGATTCTAGAGCTGAAGCCCTGGCAAACCCAAAGCCCCAGCAACGCAACGGACGTCGGAGCGGGGTTTAGGGTTTAGGGTTTAGGGCTTGGAGAGGCTTCTGTCCAAGCCGCTGTGGCGAGAGCTCCGCTACGCAATGTACAAGCACTGCCTGGGTGTCCCTGGAGCTTGCAGTTGCGCCAGAACCCTTAATAGGGTTTAGGGTTTAGGGTTTAGGGTTCAGAGTTCAGGGTTATGAGCCATAAGTCCTCAACCGCACCCTGAACCCTGCAAACCCTATGCACCCGAAACTTTAAAACCCTGAGCCCAAAACGGTGGCGCCAAACCGGGTTTCGGGTTTGGGATTTTGGGTCCCCCGACTAGGGGCTAAAGTTATTCAGTCCAGCAGGGCTTAGGGCTTAGGGTTTAGGGTTTAGGGTTTAGGGTTTAGGATTTAGGGTTTAGGGTTCGAGATACTTGGACCCGAGAACGATGGGAAACGCGCAGCCGCAAGCCCCCCAAATCCTAGGTTGGAAGTCTTGAGGGGTACCAGAGGCCCAGGGTTTAGGGTTTAGGGCTTAGGGCTTAGGGCTTTAGGGTTTAGGGTTTAGGGCTTAATTACTTAGGGCTTAGGATTTAGGGCTTAGGGCTTTAACTAGGGCTTAGGGCTTAGGGCCCAGGGCTTAGGGCTTAGGGCTTGGGGCTTAGGCTTAGGGTTTCGAGGTCAATTTCCCAAGAATTCGAACCTGCTGAGGAGATTGGCTTCGTCCGCTCCCTATCCCGGTGCAGCGTCAGCGACGACCTGCGCCTCGCACTGGGTTATGCTAGGCGTAGGGTTTGGGGTTTAAGGCGTAGGGTTTAGGGTTTAGGGTTTAGGGTTTAGGGTTTAGGGTTTAGGGTTTAGGGTTTAGGGCATTGTGTATCTAAACCAGATGTGCTGTACCTAAGAATCCCAACATAGGCTTCATACACTCCATCCTTACGTTCGTTAAGATTTCGTGGTTTTGGTCTTGGGGTAGTTACATGGTCTCTTAGCATGGGCCCTTAAAAGGGACCCCTTACACACCCCTTGTATATGCCTATTCAACCCAAGGGCCTACACTACCCTTAGACCAAGGAAGGAGCAAGGAGCCTTAGGGTTAGGGTCTAACCTAGCATGTTTGAAGCCCTGACGCCCTAGATCCTCTGGAGGACACCTGTGTGTAGACTTTAAAAGAGCTAGCTCCTAGAAATTGCCGAAAGTAGTACAGCCAGCCATCAACTACTGGGGGGATTCTACTTTCTAACCCTACACCCTAAACCCCAGAAGTTTGGCTAGTGTACCGGCCGTCGGGAAGAGCCGCCGACATTGAAGCCGCTAGCTGGGCATATTCTAGCTGCAGCTATAGTCGGAATGTAGGCGGTACTTGTGTTCCTGTATACCTTCGATTTTTGGGGCTCCCGAAACTCAAACCCCCCATACCCTAAACCCCTAAACCCTAAACCCTAAACTGTTTAGGAGCACCGACGCCACGCGGCAGCTCTCGCAGGCTCTGTCACAGCGGCTGTGACTTGGCCTCAAGTCAACAAAGCCTCGCCAGGATTCCTCAACCCCTCAGCCCTCAACCCTAATCGGCCAATTTCTCGCCCCCCCCCCCCTCCCCCCAGCGGCAAATTTCTCGGCCCCCTAAACCTCCCCCACCCCACCCCCTCCAACCTTGAGTTCAAGCCGTAGAGTTGTATGTTCGAATTTCCGGGTTTAGGGTTTCACGGCCTCGGCTTCAGGGTTCTAGGATTTAGGTTTTAGGTTTCAAGGCCCTGGTTTGAAGGGTTCCTGGGTTTAGGGTTTAGGGCTCAAGGCCTAGGGATATGGTTTAGGGGTCAGTAAAACGAAAGCAGCTTCCTAATGCTATGGATCCAAAGGGTGGGTGGGTAGATATTCGATACCTGAGTAATGAGCTTGAGTACTGAATGCTTTGGACTTGAGACGCTGACCCCTACGCCCTCCACCCTAACCCGTAAACTTTCCGGGAACCGCAGTAGCAAGTCGGGACCGGGGCTTTCCGCGCCTTGATTATATCAAATACATTCGTGCGAATGCGAGCATAGAAGTTCTGTTTCAAAAATGCATCAGCGAGTTTAATAGGTAAAATCCTTCTTCATTGTAACAAAAGACACTTGTCGGAACTCTTAAGTGGCGGGTTTAGGGTCCGATGTTGGGGTGAAGTTTTGGGTCAGAGTGCTGACAGCCCCCCAACACCTGCATGAACTCAAAACTCTGGGAGCGCAAAGCCCCGGGCGCCTAATCCTTCAAAAGAAGAAGCACTAAACCCCCTAGGCTGCTACTCGGGTCGGGGGGGGGGGGGGGGGGGTGGACGCCGGGCGGCATTTACGAGTCCACACTCACGAGCACCCCTCCTCCCGTCCGGGGCCGCTCTGTTAGGGTTTAGGGTTTAGGGTTTAGGGTTTAGGGCTTAGGGTTTAGGGTTTAGGGTTTAGGGCTTTGTTGTATCATGGTTGTCGCCGCTGTGCCCCATTGTCGCTCTGGGCTCTCAGGCTCTCACTCCCGCCATGGCTATCTGCCCTCGCATTCGCGGTTCCCTCGCGCAGCAGCGGGACGTGTTGCTTCATCTGCTGCTGGCCCGATCTATCCTGGATCTCACCTTCCATTGTTGGGCACCTTTGCCACACCGGTGCGCCGGATTGCCCGTGAAATGTTTGGTGTGCATGGACTCACAGTTCGTCTCATGGGCTACCTCACCTGTTGGTTGCAAACCTTACAGGCTCGGCTTCTGCTCTCCTACTGCCTGACTGACCGCTTCCTTGTCCAGAAAGGCGCAAGTACCTTCGGTTTGGGTCTCAGTGCGTGCTCTCTGCATCGCACGCTGGGAAGATGTGTAAACTGTGTGAACGAAACACCTGTCGAATCCCTGATGTTGATGCTTGTGCTGTTTGTTGGTTCAAGCAGTGCCAGTGCCCGCCCGAAACGAGTTCACAGCGTTTTCTGTAGGGAAGCAGTGTCGCATGATCCCAAAGTCCGTATGTACAAATATGACTTTGCATATGTTTTTGGGGTGTGCTGTACTTTGCAGTTTGAGGCGAGTGGGAGAGGGGAATCCTGAGAAGCCTCCTCTTGTATTTTGTTTGTGCTTGTTACTTATTTGTGTGGAGTAAGTTGACAGCGGGCACACGCCGCAGAACTTTTCAGACCCCATCCTTAGGTGGTTTCACCTTCCGGCAAGCCGCAGACCGCAAGCAGGGTGCCAGTGCATGAGACTTCTGACCAGCATCAGGAGCGGCGCTCTGCTGTCAGGACGATCTGCAGGTTGAGCACGGGTCTTGAAAGTCCAGACAAGCTCAGCCGGGATGCCAGGGGAGCGGTTCTGGTAGAGCGCGTCGTGCAGCTTCGACACAAGGGTTGTGCGTCTCTGGACGAAAGATTCGACACACGGAGGAGCTACTTAATGGCGTAACTTATGCTGTGGAGAAGCGGAAGGAATTTCAGAGCTAATTTTCGACGTGCCAGCGCGGCGGCGTGGTTCATGTTCCGCAGTAAGTTTGAAACTATGAAACAGTTCCCAACGGAGGCGCCTCCAGACACCTGTGCTAGGATCCTACCGCTAGGAGTCAACGGGGGAAAGGGGTTGCTAGCGCCTGATATGCCAAGCTCTCATGTCGCGTGGCTGTTAAACAGAAAGAGGCTTCGCGCCAGATCGAAAAGCCATCTGCTTCATGTCCTACAAAGCGAGGAGCTTCAGATTCTTGACGACGCCGTTGAGACAGCAGTTGGGAGAGCCTTGAACTTCGAGGATGTAGGCGAGCAGCCTGCGGCAGCTCCAGTGCCTGGAGTTTATCATCTTCTGGACTTGAACAATCTCTGTCCTGATTGACCTTAGCCTTTACTATCCATAAATAGATATAAATCAATAAATAAATAATAAAAATATAAATAAATAAATGAATGAGTGAATATATATGTATATATATATATATAGAAAACCAACAATGTTCGCACATTTTCATGCTACAAACAGCGTAGCTCTGAAACAGCTATAATATGCCTGAAGTCTCTTCACTTGATAGGCGTTTCGTTGCGAGATGATGGTGTTATTCTTCGTCGTCTTGAAAAAGAACGACTGTTTTTTCAAGCATCAGTGTGCGCGTCAGCGAAGCTGGTATTTGAATGCCATGATAACACACGTTCGCCCTCTTGAGCGCTCCAAGAAAGAAAGGGGAGAATTATCAAGGAAGTCTTTGGCCTATACTCCGTGGGTTCAATAAGTAAGCGGTGTGTCCAGACTGCACGATACCCGTGAATTCCGTCCCCCACATGATGTAAGTAATACTCCAACACCGATGATATTTAAAATTGCGAAACGTAATTTGCTTTTACGGTGCTATCTTATGTGTAAGTCTGCAAGGTAGGTAGTAAGAACTGCTTGATGAAGAACCTTTTGTGGCTCTAATGGTTCCAAATATTCACTTCTAGCGGGTGAGTGCTCGCTTCGCCTCAGACTTTTTCCTGTGCGTGGAGCTCCCACCTCGCAGCGCGTGGCCAGCCTTGGTACACTGTTAGAGTTGCAACGTGTGTGAAGAGAGCAAGTTCAAATGGCTTTCAAGCTAACGGCAGTACATGCATTGCTTGAGTTGCAGGCTAACGTGGATGCCAGCTTTGCACATTTAGCCGGCGGGACGCGCAATCTGTGGTTCTGGCAAGTTTGCTCCTTGCGCCCTCTGCTCGCCTCATCAGCCTTTGACTTGTTCATCTGTCTACGCAGGGCTGTTCTACGGCATCGTGGCCAATCCGCAGCTGCAATGAAGGTGTGCTGCCGAAGAGCTCTAGCGCCGTGTTCGCTGTCCTTTTGTGGTTACCCGGCAGAACCGACTCCAGACTGCGCAACTTCCTCAATCGCGACTGCCTACGCTCGAGTCTGCCCGCCATGCTGCCTGGTCGCTTTCTTTCATCACATGAGGACTCGACGCGTGGGAGGTGAGAGGTCCCCGTTTGGGTCTTGCGCTTCTTCACAGGCCGCGCCTGAATGAAACGACGAATACACATTCTTGTCGGTTGCTTGTTCAGTGTTGTCACCACCTTGTTTTGCCTTAAAATCTCCCATGAATGCTTAGGCCCAGATGTTCAACGCATTGCTTTTCTTGTTTTGGATTTTTTGGTAAAGCCTTGAGAACAAGCTCCTCTTCCCATTCAGGAAGAATGCGCTGTTTGACTAGACTCTGTATCTGTATCTGTATCTGGTAAACGTGATGAGGAAACAAGCATTCATAGGTCTGTGTTTGAAAACTTGAAGTTAAAATCATAAACGCCTCTGGTGAACTAAGCCCAATACTTCTGGATGTTTCTTTTGTACATCCTATTCAAAGTGCGCAGCGTGCGTTGGGTACCCACAACGGCGGTGTGGGTTGACGGCCTCACGAAGATCTCTGCCAGTCTCCGGGCCACGTTCCGACTCGGTCCTTTTCTGTGCAAGGTCTCTAAACCCTCGCACGTGCTAGGCTGGCGTTTGCCTGCCTTCCTGAGCCACACCGAAGCAGCTACGGTTCTCCTTTCCGGCTGATTTCACTCCACCTGGAAAGCTGCAGATTTCGGAAAAGCAAAAACCTCACCCGTTTGAACCTTTAGCCCTAGCTGTTGGTGTCACTACTAAGTACGGACGCGTTTTGCGCAGGCACTTTGCTGTGTCCACCCTTGTGTAAGCTAACCTAGGGCGCTTGAGTCGCATGCAGCGTGTCACCCTAAAATAACCTTAAACTCGAAACCCTGAACCTCACCCTAAGACCTAAGCTAAACTCTGAACCCTAAAGCCTACGCCCTACACCCTGAACCCTAAACCCTGAACCCTAAAGCCGAAACCGAGCACCGACATGCTCAGCCCTTGCCTTCAGGCTGGCGGCCGGAGACACCATCTTCGAGCCTTGGCCTGTGGCTTGTGGCCTTAGGAGAGTTTAGGGTTTATAGGGTTTAGGGTTTAGGGTTTAGGGTTCAGGGTTTCGGGTTTAGGGTTTAGGGTTTAGGGTGTAGGGTTTCGGGTTTAGGGTCGACCCTCGGGTTCTTGGTAGGGGTGAGAGGAACTAGGCTTCTCTCCCCAATTTTTTACCTTTGAAGGGATCCTCTCAAATACCTCACCCTAAACCCTAAACCCTAAACCCTAAACCCTAAACCCTAAACGTTAAACCCTAAACCCTAAACCCTAAACCCTAAACCCTAAACCCTAAACCCTAAACCCTAAACCCTAAACCCTAAACCCTAAACCCTCAAGTTGAGGGTGGCTTTGGGTTCAGGGGTTTGAGTTTCACAAGCAGGGACCTGGGAGTCCTCAACTTATCGCTGCCTCAACCCTAAACCCTAAACCCTAAACCCTAAACCCTAAACCCTAAACCCTAAACCCTAAACCCTAAACCCTAAAACCCTAAACCCTAAACCCTAGCTCCCGTGGCTTGGGGTCTTGGGGTTTCGGGGTTTCGGGGTTTTGGGGTTTTGGGGGGTTTGGGGTGTTTGGGGTTTTGGGGTTTTGGGTTTTGGGTTTTGGGGTTTTGGGGTTTGGGGTTTTGGGGTTTTGGGGTTTTGGGTTTTTGGTGTCTTGGGGTTTTGGGGTTTTGGTTTTGGTGTCTTGGGGTTTTGGTGTCTTGGGGTTTTTTTGGTTTTGGGGTTTTGGGGTTTTGGGGTTTTGGGTGTTGGGGTTTTGGGGTTTTGGGGTTTTGGGGTTTTGGGGTTTGGGGGTTTTGGGGGTTTTGGGTGTTTGGGGTTTTGGGTTTTGGGGTCTTGGGGTTTTGGGGTTTTGGGGTTTTGGGGTTTTGGGTGTTTGGGGTTTGGGTGTCTTGGTGTCTTGGGGTTTTGGGGTTTTGGGGTTTTGGGGTTTGGGGTTTTGGGGTTTTGGGTGGAGGGCTTGGGGCTCAGGATTTCGGGTCTTCGGGTTCAAGGTGTTGGGTTTGGGGCTCTTTTGGCCATGGGGCTCTGCATGGATGAACCCCAAACCCAGTTTTTTTTTTTTTTTTGGGGGGGGGGGTTCAAGTCTTTGTGCTTCCGTTGGATAGACCCTAAACCTTGGCATGTTCCCCCTTATACTAACCCCCTATTAGAATCCTTATTTAGGACTGTTAGTATACGGGGGAACATCCCAACCTAAACCCTGCACCTTAAACCCTACACCCTAACCCTAAACCCTGAACCCTAAGCCCTACACTCCAAGCGAAGGGAACAGTGACAGGCGCAACGACAAAATGACTTGGCAGTCCTAGCCCCTTGAACCCTGAAGCCCTTGAGCCCCGCATGCTCGTAAGGTCTAGGGTCTAGGGTCTAGGGTCTAGGGTTTAGGGTTTAGGGTTTAGGGTTTAGGTTTAGGGTTTAGGGTTGAGGGTTTAGGGTTCAGGGTTTCGGGTTTAAGGTTTAGGGTCTCGAGCTTCGAACCCTTCAAGCCGTGTTGTAAGCCCTGAAGCCCTCAAGCCCAAACCCCAACTCCCAAACCCCGAACCCCAAACCCCAAACCCCAAGCCCCAAACCCCAAACCCTAAACCCTAAACCCTAAACCCCAAACCCCAAACCCCAAACTTTCTTTCAGGAGTCTGGAAGCCTGGCGAAGGATGCATACTTCCTGATGAAGACATCTGAGTGCCTGCAGCGGGATGGCCTAAACTCCAAACCCCAAACCCCAAACCCCAAACCCCAAACCCCAAACCCCAAACCCCAAATCCCAAACC